TTGACTCGTTTGATGTTGAAACCCCATTTGCAGCCAATTGCGCGTTGATCTTTTGGCAATTTCTCAATTTGCCCCGTTTTATTCAACATCAGAGAGTCGTACCAAAGACAATATAAACACTAAGATGAGTAACGCCCATACATTTGCATGCGACGAAAAATTTCATGCCTGGCGTTTGAGTTTTCGGACGACATGCCTGCCGACTGGCTATTCGTTCTCCAAAAGCCAGACGAACGAATGCCGAAGTCGCGGCCTGCTGATGCTGACACGAGCAACGAAGTTAGTCGCCAGCCTGCTTTCAGCAAAGCTTCGTTTTGGAAGTACATTGAGCGAAAAGTTTTAAACTTACGATCGACGCAAAGTGCTCTATCCATGAAATGCATGCTTTATTTAAATGATACATTACCCTAGATACTAACTATAAATTGTGCACTAAAATATAGGAATAAAATAATTTTTTAACAAGGCGCAACCTGTGCAATAACTATGTTAAGAAAATATCACATAGATTTATTTCTCTTTTGTTTTTGGACAGTGTATGCTCGAGAGAAGTTCTTGTTCAGCCAATGACGTGCAAGCACCTATGTTTGTATGTGTGAATTATGCATGCATAACTATATCAAAATATGTATATGTTATGTGTTGTTATTCACTGCCTTGGCTTTGGCTGGTGAAGAAATAAATTTTGTTTTCTAGCGCTGATCATGCACGACCTATTCCAAATTTGTATTCACATATGAATGCATGTTGTGTACTGAGGTTTTTAAAGTCAATGCAAATATTTATATAATTTCTTTTAATTAACTTATTAATTAAATTTTTATTATTTTTAAGAAATAAAAGAAATGAAATAAGAGCGCAAGTTTTGTGTTTCCAAAGATTCATTTTATCAATTTTTTTTTATGTTTAAATTAATTTTTACTCCGCCGGTCGAACTAGCTACCGATGTATTTAATTTACCCTATTTGTATTTTTTGGCACTCTTTTATTTTTTAATAAAATAAAAATAATAATAAATAATTAATATTTTAATTTAAAGAAATTATATAAATATTTGCGACGACTTTATAAAACAGATATTTTACGGAGCCAACTTCAGTACACAGCATGCATTCGTATGTGAATACAAATTTGGGATAGGTGCATGATCAGCGCTAGAAAACTAACAAAATTGATTTCTTTGCCAGCTAAAGCCAGAGCTGTGAATAACAACATATTCAAATAAGCTGTTATGTATGTATACTAACACACCTACAAACATAATTGCTTGCACGGCTCTCATAGAGCCGAAGCGCAGAATACATTCTATTTTTAGCTTTTTGCTCTTTCGGCTGTGAGAGCGCAATGATACTGATTTCGTTTTCGTTCTCAAATTTCAAAAAAGCAAACTGCATAGTAGCATTTTGTTGTATGGCGTTACTCATCTTAGTGTTTATATTGTCTTTGGTCGTACTCTCTGTTCATTGCCTCACGCCACAGTGGAGCTTCGGAACAGCTGATGGCCATCTCGTAGGATGGAAGAATTTGTATGAATGCGCCGAGACTTATCATCGATAAATGATAAAACATATCGATTGCCGCCAAAGGATTCAGTCTTAAATGTTCCGCACCCATCAGAATGAACAAGTTCCAAAAGTTTACTCGCTCTATTTTCTGTTTCCGTTTTGCTCAGCATACATATCCCACATGACACCTTGGATAAAAAAAAGCTCCTTCCATCCCATGCACCATTTTCTTTATGGTCAAGTCAGTCGAGCTCCGAAGATTTAAGTGGCCATAGCGCTTATGCCAAAGTGGTCCGTCCACACATGCCGCAGCAAAACAGTTGTTGGGTTTACCTTCAAAGTGTATAAATTTCCCACTTTTTTGACCATCAAAATGCACTTGCCATCCTAAATAATTTTTGCATGTTTGTTGCTGGAGTGCGCAACACAGCCTCTTGCCGGAATTTGACTAACCGACAAAAAATTGCCTTTTAGATCCGAAATACATATACAGTACATTGTTAATAACAATTGTATAGCGATCTGTTTGTAATTCGACCTCGCCTTTTCTCTTTGCATGTAAAAAGCTGTCTGCTGCCAAGCCGATCATATCAGTATGTTTTTCCATCTTGGTAAACATTGCCCCACTACAACACATGTGGCTTGTAGCACCACTATCTAAGCACCACTTTGAGCGATAAAATCCATTTGCGTCCAAGGAATCTAACAAACTGAATTCCTTTTGTGTTTTTTCTTTGCTCGTGCTTTTCTTCTTTTCCGTTTGTGCACTTATGCTTCTACAATCTGCTTTTGCCGCAATTAAAGCATACGATATTTTTTGCATGTGTCTTTTCGCCACTGCTTTCCACTTTAACTGTAAAAGCATGCTTTTCTCCATATTGTCTGTCAGCATTTGATCTTCTCCTTCCCTCTTCCTTTACTTTGATATTCAGAATTTCAAATTCTGGCAACACATCGCGCGTCTCAATGGCGGCAACTAAGTTTTCGTAATTTTTTGGTAGACTAGAAAGAAGGATGCATTTAAATAACTACACACATTTTGACCTTCTGACATTTGCAAACTTAACAGCATTTCGTATAAATATAGCTTACGCACCGGTCCCGTTGGCTGATGCACCGCCTTCAGCTTTGTCCAAGTTGCAAATGACGTGTCACAATTTTTTATATAGCCCAATTGCGATTGCTTGACGCTTAGAGTAAATATAGTCAGGGCTTTGCTATCTTTTTCCTCCTTGAGTGCACCCGATGCCAAGTCCCACAGCTCTGCATGGACCAGAACACTGCGCATTTGTACAGCCCAAGAATCGTAATTCTTTTCTTCGAGTTTGTCTATTTGATATAGAGAATCATTATATGCACCACTTGACAGCTATCTGCGAATTATTTTTCTCGTGAGAATTCCTCTAGCTCGTTAACTAGAATTTAAATTGTCGCTTATTTTTGGTACTTGATTCATTGATTTTTGCAACAATATTTATAATAAATATTAATTATTTATGTAATTATATAGTTATTCAAATATTACCAAGATAAAATTGTCTCGACTTTAATTTTAAAAGGTCAAGTTCCATCTGTTATTGAATGATCTTTAATTAACGGCAGATAGTTGTTGCTTTGGAAATAGTCATTTATTACAAAAAATTCCTGAATCAACTATTTAAAATAAGCATTAAACGTTAGTTAATTAATTGTGTTAAGCTGTATTTAAGATATATTCGTTTTTTAATCCAATTAATTACATTATTTTTTTTTATTGGATTTTGTGAAATTAAACTAAACGAAATTCTATATCTTACATTGAAAATATTCAAAATGTGTAAGTAAACCATAATTTGATCAATTATTTGATTTACTTTACAACCATTTTTCACAATATCGTGCTGCATACGTACAATTTAGTAGCAACATAAATTTATACCGTTTTTTTAAGTATCAGTATCAGTATTAACATTCATACTTATAATACAATCATGTCGGAGATGTTTGTTTATCGAACATCAATTTCACCTATGCTAGGCTCATAGTTTTTAATGAACGATTCATGTAGCCCAACAAGCTATAATTCAATTTAAATGAAATTAAAAAAATGCACTTGTTTATAAATTTTTATTGCTATCAATCATACTTAGGTTGCCTTAATAATGTAAGACTAAAAGTCACACATTCCCGTGATGAGTACGCTATATAGCATTCTGATTATTTGATGATTTTATCACCCTACTTTTTTGATTCATTTGGATTTACTCTAAATACGTCAATATTTTTAATTGGTGATTTTGTCTTTAATTATAGATTTTTTTGAACTTTTAGTGCTGTGAATTCACTTTTCCCATTTCGATGAAATTTCAACAAATTTTAATAACTAAAAAGAAAATAATTATTTTGTAATTTTTTATTTTCGTTTATTTAATTTGTTATTAATCAGAAAAATATGCAGTAATAATAAATGAAAGAAAGTAAAAGTGCTTTAGTCGAGTGTCCTGCTAGAATCAGTTTAGCTTCCTTAAAAATTAAAGTTCGTACGCCGAATGCTGTGCAGTTTACGCTACGGCTGTGCTTCTTCTTCACTTAGTCGTACATTGTGAGCAATGCGTGTTTATTTTCCGATCTTGGTGTTCATGGCTTGATATATGCTCTAACTTTAAAAATGAGTAGGAGAGGTAACTTGAAAATAAATATGTTTAATATGTATATACCATCCGAGAACCTACATAAAAAGTTTTGTGACCCAAGCTCTTATAAAAATCGATATATCGAAAATGTTATCCTTGTTCTGTGTATAGGAGATTATATTTCATTCAAATTGTCAAGTAACCAGTAACCTTTTGTAGTTTCTGAGAGTTCACACAGACGAAGAGATATGCTTCCTTCAACCTGTTACATATACAAAGCCATTTTACCCTTATAACCAATTGTGACCTGAAGCCAGGCACAATCAATCTAAAGTTTTTTAACAGCTCCCGAAACTATGGCCCTCCCAGACAATACTACAGCCATGGATTAGTTTGTTTACGTTGTTCAAGACATATATGTATGTATATATGCGTACTTACTTCTATAAATATAAGAAAAGGCTTGTAGCCTTTAAATAGCCGTAAAGTTGTTCTAAATATAATTAGGTGTAAAAAATGTTTAAAGGCATATTGCGAATAGCAAGTATGTAGAAATTCTATACTTAAGGCTTACGACGTACACTAAGTCGTTTCAATGTTTTAAAATTTGTGACACATTGTCATCTCTTAAATATAGTATTAAAACCCAACATTTCATGTATGTATGTGTTTACTCATACTCGTAGATATCTATGTTTGTAGTTGCATCTTGTTAAGCGTAGATATATCGAATAAAGCTAACAACTACCACGATTATATCACAAAGTACTCATATGCAGGATACATCAAATTTCTCTGGCAATATTTAAAACACTTTTCCATAAGGTTATTAAGAAATCGATTCAATTAAATGTTACTAACGTTATATTTTTATTTTTGACAGGTTATCTAAAAACTCGTTCAAAACCCCAAGGTAGCTGTACAGGGTTCTGGCGGGCCGAGAAACGATTTCGCTTCTGGATACGACACACAGTAAAGACGCAGTGGTTCTATTGGTTCGTAATAGTTCTGGTCTTTCTGAATACCGTCTGCGTAGCTGTCGAACACTATGGCCAGCCAACATTTCTAACGGAATTCTTGTGTAAGTTATTTCTTAATATCGGTCTCGAGTTTGTGCAGAAGATGTAGAGAGCAGATTGTCTGGTAGCTAACAATACTAATTTCGTTACAGACTACGCTGAATTTATATTCCTGGGCCTATTCATGTCGGAAATGTTTATAAAGATGTATGCGCTGGGCCCTCGCATTTACTTCGAGTCGTCGTTTAACCGTTTTGATTGTGTCGTCATTAGTGGTTCGATATTCGAGGTGATCTGGTCCGAAGTTAAGGGTGGCTCCTTCGGCCTATCTGTGTTGCGTGCGCTACGGCTTCTACGCATCTTCAAAGTGACCAAATATTGGTCATCTCTACGTAATCTAGTAATTTCATTGCTAAATTCAATGAGATCTATTATCTCGTTGCTCTTCTTGCTCTTCTTGTTCATACTGATATTTGCACTGCTTGGCATGCAATTGTTCGGTGGGCAATTCAATTTGCCAGGAGGCACACCCGAAACAAATTTTAACACATTTCCCATAGCACTTCTAACCGTGTTTCAAATCCTTACCGGCGAAGATTGGAATGAAGTTATGTATCAGGGTATTATATCGCAAGGTGGTGCAAAGAAAGGAATGATTTACTCTATGTAAGTTTAAATAAATATTTATATATTTTTTTCATTAATATTATATAATATATTTAATTATATGAGTATATTGTATAAACTATAAGATAGTATCATATATAAGACCAAGTAAAAACGATTCAGTCGGGTGCAACCGACTACACAATACTCGAACTGGGTGGGTGGTTCAAAGACTTAACCGCAATGCAGTCATTTTCTAAGGGTGCCCTTAGAAAATGGCGACTTTTGCAATGTGTGGTGACGGATACTAATGTAGCCTCGATCTGCCAAATAAGGGGTTCCAGCCCTTAAACTGTTGGAGTATAGATTTTCGCAGATTAGTCTTTGTCTTACGCAGATATGCACAAGTATATTTTTAAAGTAGCAGGTTTCTATCATTAAGATCTGAAAAAATCTGGGCATATAGACTGTCAGTGGACCAGACAAACATTGCACAAAGCCAATCCACTGTCTCACTTCATGAACCGAGTATTAAAATTGTATGTCATATTCTAGAGAAATACATAATCTGATAGGTTAACTGCTGCTTAATACATGTATGCTTAATATCCTGTTAGGTGACAGGGAGTATATTCGATCTCGTGAATTTTTTGTTTCGTTTATTTATGTTATTGAGAATTTTGCATGATTTTGTTTTACTTATTTTGATAATATTATAATTTCATAATAAATGCTGAAGTAGGCTCTGGGAAAGTAGTTGGAATTCATTGAACGTCGAACCATTAATGTGTGCAATCGGCCTTAAAGATCCGAAACGTTGGAGTTTTGGTTTCACAATATAAGTGAAAGATAGGACTTTATGGCTTGAAGAATTTAGTTTAATTTAATTCTGAAATTTTGCAAGCCAAGTCCATTCTCTTTTTCTCAGTCGCTTATTATCTAAAAAAATCTCGGCGTACTCATCCGTACCTTAATAACGTAAGTGTATACATTTATAAATGCTAAAACAGTTAACACATACCTGCTTAACTATTTACATTCATAATTTTTTTGCAGAAATCAATTCAGTTTTGGATTCATTTTGGCCCTATGTCACAGTTGATTAAGTATTATAAGTATTTACCGCCTTACTACATTATATTCGTTAAGACTTATTGGACTTACGAGTAATGCCGTACTGTAAAACCGTATTCGAAGATTGATTGATTCAACTGTTAGTCTCCTTAAATTCTATAGTATATCTAGCAGTCAGATGCGCAATAAATATATGTAACTAATTATATTTAGATCAGATCTATTTAGTAACTTAAGCTCATTGTATTGGTAGTTAATAACACTCGACAAAATGTTGTTCTTGGAAATATCATCATCATTTTACGCCTGAAAATAAAAGCATTACCATTCCGATGCACATATGAACATAGGTCCAAATAAATATATCTTGAATCTGTAGAGACAGATGAGAATGTGTTTAAAGCACATACTGGTCCGTCAAAACTAAGGTCATGAGGATTGAGCTAATCAACCATATGGTATTCCTACAATAAGGTTAATCATGAACGGATTAAAAAGATTTTAACATTTAGCAGATAAGTGGGTGCAGGGTATTGAATCGGGAGGAACACTTCCGACATTTCCAAGTACTTACTTTTAAGTATATAAATGCAATTGTGTGGACTCAACTCATAACTTTCTATTCCTTTAACAGATACTTTATCGTTTTGGTACTCTTCGGTAATTATACGCTTTTAAATGTGTTCTTGGCTATCGCCGTCGATAACTTGGCGAATGCGCAAGAACTGACAGCAGCCGAAGAGGAACAAGTCGAAGAGGATAAAGAGAAACAACTTCAAGAGCTAGAAAAGGAGATGGAAGCGCTTCAAGGGGATGGTGTTCATCTAGAGAACGGCGATGGCACAGTAGCCACTAGCAAGGGAAAGAGCAAGAAAAAGGAGGAAGAGAAAAAAGAAGAAGAAGAAGTAACAGAAGGACCCAAACCAATGTTACCATATTCTTCGATGTTTATACTTTCGCCAACAAATCCGTAAATATTATTCTCACAAGTTTACTTATTTAAATAGCTCACTCGGCAACGCCGGGTAACACAAGCTATATATTTTTTTTGATTTTATAAACTAGTTAGGGTTACCTGTCGTTTTCCGGGTCAAGGATTTTCTTCCTTTGGAATAGACTGAAGTTGATTAAATTAATAACAGAAATAAAGACTTTTTCTTAAGAAACGAAAAAGTTTGAAGCAAGTCAGACGAAAATATAACTGTCGTCTATACAATCTGTCCGTTCCAAAAGGGTGCAAAACGAATTCATTAGAATTATTAAAAACATTACAAAAGTAGTTTCAAGGCGATCGGCAACAACATTTTAAATTGAGTTTACCCAGGAGTGGGGAGAGGGAGTGGAAGAATAAAACATCGCAAAGCCACTTTTATAAAACTTTTTGTATATATATGTAGATAGTTTATATGTGTTTGGTACCAGGTTTAAGTGGGATTTATGGCCTGACCCATAATTTTGAAATAATAATGTTTATAAATTTAAAATAAAAAACAATTTAGGACGCCGTAGTCGAATGGGCTCGACTTCTAAATATCCTTTAGCCATCAGTAACACTTTAGCTTTTAGTGTAATTCTTCAAATCATAAATTATAGCTCAATACAAATTACAGAATGCCAATACAGGTGCTTATTAATATATTTATTACACAAACTTATGCGCCGCTTCTTTCGCCTGCGCTAATTTCGAAATTTATTGTTGAATAGTTTCTATGTTCGCTGTCCGATGTACATGGAGTTTAAAAGGCATAAATATTGGAATAAAAGTTTTGTATTCGAGAACCCACATACCAAATTTGGTATATTTAGTTCTTGTATTTTTTGAGGTTTGCCCAAAGAAGTAAGTCTTAGAATCGATTTGTATCAAATTTAGGAAATGGGATGGGACATCGGTCGACAAGCAGCCGTGCTGTTGGATAGGTAGGAAAATAAATAATTATTATTTTTAATTCCAGTTTCTTTATACTCGCATAGGCTCGTAAATTTAAGTGCAGGTATTTGTGTTCTAGGTTCCTTTTAGAAATTTTAATATTCAAAAATAGCTATCATTAATAACTATCCTAATATCTGATAAAATTTTTTAGCATAACAAAAAATTTACTAACTATTTTCACTTTTTTCTTTTACTTTTTTCTTTTGGATTCGGTTCAATTTTATGTTGCACACTACAATGAACAACTGAACAAATTAATTCATAAATTGAATTATCATTGATTAATTCAAATTGTAAATATTTGCACTACAAATATCGACGCAAACTTCATTTGATTTCTACACCAATCACCTTCACCACGAGAAACTGCAATCCACCTTATTAAATTCATCATCACCTTCAACAACAACAACAAAACCAACAACAACAACTTTAACCATTACAACAACAACAACTATAACAATGACTATGACAAACACCGTTGATAAAACATTATAAATAATAATTGGAAAAAAAAACAATTTAAACTAAATAAAACGGTTGACTAAACGAAACAAAAATCGCAATCGAATACCTAAAATAAAATTCAATAACAAATGTAATAACCGAATTAATTGAACTTTGCAATTGCAACTGGCAAAAAACAAAAAAACAAACATTTATTTATTGAAAAAAAAAATCCAAAAACGTCAAACCTAACCACCTATTGGTATAACAATTAATTAATGACCCATACAGCATACGACGTGGCGCCCATTGGGTCGTAAACTTACCATATTTTGATTTCTTCATAATGGTCGTCATCTCAATGTCATCAATAGCATTAGCAGCCGAAGATCCCGTTCGTGAGAACTCGAGGCGAAACAAAATTTTGAATTACTTTGATTATGCATTTACCGGCGTATTCACGATAGAAATGTTGCTGAAAATTGTAGACTTGGGTGTCATACTACATCCTGGCAGCTATTTAAGAGAATTCTGGAATATTATGGATGCTGTGGTCGTTATATGCGCTGCTGTTAGTTTCGGTTTTGATATGAGCGGTAGCAGCGCTGGACAAAATTTGTCAACTATAAAATCGCTTCGTGTCTTGCGAGTATTGCGTCCATTGAAGACCATTAAACGTGTTCCAAAATTAAAAGCCGTCTTCGATTGCGTCGTGAATTCATTAAAAAATGTTGTTAACATTCTAATCGTGTACATATTGTTTCAATTTATATTTTCTGTTATTGGTGTACAATTGTTCAATGGAAAATTTTTTTATTGTACGGACGAAAGTAAACATACTTCCGAAGAGTGCCAGTAAGTAAAATTTGTATTCAAGATTGATATTTTTTTCTGTTCTAATTTTTCTTATATGTTTCGTATACCATAAACCGACATTATTTGTGCAAAATTGTTTGTTTAGTTTTAATAGTTATTTGCTTATTATTTCATAGACTTTGCAATAATAATTTATCCTCTTAGTCGCGTTGCGCATACATTCTGTGTGGTCTTACATATATATAGATCTTCTACTCTATCAGTCACTATTGCTCTCTCTCTCTCTCTCCCTCTTTTGTAATTATATATCCGTTTCTCTCTTTAAATATATAATATGAATGTATATGAATGTACATACATGTGTGTATATATATGTATATACATATATGCATATATATTTACTGAACATATGTATATATATTTATATATATATATATATATATATACAATTTAATTATATATATATATATATATATATATATGCATATATATATCTATAAATATGTGTATATATTTTTAATTGATTAGCATAAATATATATAAACATATTTAAATAAACAGTTCATGTCTGTGTGCTACAATCTTTAATTTGTTACAAAGCTTTTAAATACAAACATTAATAAATTCCTGTGTACATGCTTTGCTTTTAAATAACAACACAAGGTACTATATGATAAGCCTACTTATCAGCACCTCAGGAAACTCTTAAAGACCGGACAGATGTACAATTTATATACATAAGTCAATCAAGTGTCATAAAACTGAATGAAGAAACTAATTGCATTTCTTGGGTGTGTATGTGTAACCTCATTTGAGGTGTGACAAGTACTACGTAGTTAGTACCTAGTACCTTTTCTATGTATGTATAACTTTTGTACCTGCCTACATACACAATTATACCACATTATCTACGGTTGGTTCCTATAAATGTTTACACAAATTCTAAATGGTCATTCGAATTGTAGCCATATTCGAAGCTAAGGCCCATCGTTACTTCTCGTCCTTTATAATGTTTTCCAACATATGTATAGATATATATATATATATATAATATGTTTATGTACTTATGATAACCTCATTTCTAAAGTTCAAATCATAGGGAGAGTGAGGTGCAATATCTAGCAATTGTTAAGGCAAGGAACGAAATTTTGATCATGATTCAACCTCATGAATTTTTTTTTTAATCGATCAAGGTACCCAGTACTCTTGAGAGCTATAAATTAGCCGTTTGCATGACACTGTGTGTACATATATTTTGAAATAAGTATGTACATATGCTTAAAATATTCGACATATTTAAGTATATATGTATACATGGTTAATCATTGCAATTGCAAAAAATAGATAACATACGTTTTTTATGTTTTTGTCTCCAATATATATTTTCAATTGTATATTATTTAATTTCTTATGTGTTTGTTGTTTGCTTGTATCTTTTTTCTTTTCTAAGAAGACAAAAAAGGTGCACTGATTTTACAGAATGTAAGAGTAGCATTTTACAGTTTCTCGCCCAGTTTTTCTTGCCTGAATTGTGTTGAGCATTCACGCGAGTAAAAGGGCCAAAAACGAAATAATTAACAAGAAAGCCAACCATAACAAACTACTGATTTTTAAATTAATAAATATAAAATTACGAGCGAAATACAAATAGCAAACAAAACTCAACAACAATATCAGTGTCTGTGTATATATTCATAGAAAAGAACTGAAATGCCATCTAAGACCTTTTTAGTTTTATTCTATTTAATTTATGGTCAGTCTGTTAAGTCGATCAATGTATTTTTATATGTGTTGCCTTCTACACTAAATCAAAAATCAATGTCGAAAACAGCCAATTTGACTCAACTGAAATTCAATTGAATCCAAGAATCTGCTGTCGATCGCGTTTAGCAAGTAAATAATCGTTTTATTTCTTTACAATTGGGTATTTGCAATACCAAAGAGTCCATATTACTACCAGAAGATTTCTTAATAAGTCTGTATTCGCGTACACGCAATAGAATAACTAATCGTATTTAAAGTAGATCTCGTGCTTAAATGAGTAGTACATCATGCCCGGAATTTCATATTTGAGACTAGTGTCCAAAACTTCCTCCTATTTCATCTTACAAGATATCTCTCAATTTTTAAATATGGTAATGTAAATACATACATTCTATCATTTCTTTAAATCGAATTAACAACATATAAAATGTACAAAGAAGATTCAAATCAGTTTCAATAGAAGATAGGTTTATTCAAATATACATTGGCAACAAATAAAATATCTGACTCCATGAGTCGTTGCACGTGACGTGAGCGTGACGATCCCTTCTATAACAAGAGCATACAAAGACAAAACAAAAAAAATGTTAAAGCCTTCGTTGAGTGTGGAAAAAAAACAATTGAGAAGTGTAAATAAAATAAAAAAACAGAATGACTATCATTTTATTTTATGCAAAAGATGCTCAAAACTAATTGACATGAAAATTATACAGAATTCAACAGATACTTACATTTCTAGACGTACATTGTGCTCATACATACATACGACTGTGTACGGCTATGCTTATTATTTTAAAGACATACTCATGAAAATAAGTACAATACAGTCGCCAGATCAATTACCTTTGCAGTCACGTTGATTATCCCAAAATGAGTAGATACTCCACACCATAAGCGCAGCTGCCTTGTTACACATCGCCGAACAAACAACCAGCGACTTACGTATAAGTTGTGCACTACCAATTTAAAATCAACTCGGCTTCACTCTTTCGCATTAAGACTTAAATGCACCGCATAATATTACGTATGTAGGTTTTGGTTTAATTGATTATGCAACATGAAGTATCTTACAGACTTACAGCTTTGCTAACAACTATGGGTTAAGCGGAGTTACTGGATGTAACTGTAGATGCATTAGGTTTTCGAACATTTCTTTTATTTGTACGCCTTCTGATTGTACAGTGTTGATTTGGATTGTTCTGGGTTACAGCTAGACAAATTTAAATACTGGTACAAAAACAATTGCAAAGCCACATATCGCATATTTACCCATAAAGGGAATACAACCTACATATATACATACTATTCTGCTTTAATTTTGTTGTGCAATATTTACTGACACCACATGACCCAATGATTGATTGATTGATTGATGTCTATTCATTAGATTTCTTTTTGCAAATAGTCCCACATATAAATTTAAGTATTATCATGTTTTCAAACTTTTTGCAAAACATGATAGAATATTCAACATATTTGGAAAGCAAAATGAATGTTATTCGAATTAAATTTTGGTTAAATATTATTCATGTCATAATGTACTTTGCATATTTTGTTTGTGTAGTGTTTTTGATTGTACCAAACTTGCTTTTTACGTCTTTAATTAAGTAATTAATCCAAATACTTATTATTTCACAACGTTTTAAAAAATTGAATTGCGAAAACATCATAATCCAAACATTAACATATAATATGCAACCATCACCACCACCTGAAGGGGCTCGTATTTTAAATACGAGGAAGACGAGTTGCTGCCCAAACAGGAGATGCGAGTGTGGAAGCCCCGCAGCTTCCATTATGATAATGTCGCCGCAGCCATGTTGACGCTTTTTGCTGTACAAACCGGCGAAGGATGGCCACAGTAAGCTATTTGCTCGTAGCGTTTAAGTTATTTTATAGTATATAATATGCAACAAAGTGCAAATATTACTGGTGAATAATTAAATTGTACTTTGTTTTTATTTTTTGTTTTGTGCTATCTTCACTTAAATGTTGCTAATGGTAATCATCAAATAGGGTCTTGCAACACTCAATGGCTGCCACTTATGAAGATAGGGGTCCAATCCAAAATTTCCGGATCGAAATGTCCATCTTTTATATAGTATATTTTATTGTATTTCCATTCTTCTTCGTCAACATATTCGTCGCCTTGATAATTATTACATTTCAAGAGCAAGGCGAAGCTGAATTACAAGACGGTGAAATTGACAAAAATCAGGTGAGCCAGCAAATCAAAAAAAAAAACATAAAATTTTAAAAACGAATTCAAAAAATGACTACGTGTGTTTCATGTGTAATGTACTTACAAGTAAAATTGATAGTCGTAAAATTAACAATTATCTATATAACTGCACGTAAATGTACACACATACAACGATACCCATACATGTAAAAACCTCTATTAAAAAATTACTTATGTACTTATGTATGCTAGCCAAACAATACAATCAAACACTGTACGGAAATGCGTTTGCGCAAACGTTATTAGCTCAGGTTCTGCTACCTGTACCTGTACACGTACTCGTAATCGTTCCTTTATGTACCTTCCATTAAAACTTATAGAATGTTTGCCACCACCAATGATTAGACTGACGCCTTGAGCGTCGTTATTGACATTATTTACATTTGGGCTACATAGGGCTACCATTTATCTTGTCCGTCTCTGCAACAAATGTGATTTGGCATTACTTGCATAAACGTACGCAATATGTCTTGTTGTACGAGACTTAGTCTGTTTACTGCTTAAGAACTGCGTGCGAAAATTAAATTAGATTTTCGAAAATGCAAGGATAAGCAATAACAAACTCACTTGTGTGGTGCTCGTCTCTCGATTTTAATTGGGGGCCAGCAAACCTTGAACGTGAGAATTTGAAAGTTGGTCCGCGTTGCGCGCCGCATAATTTGATAATCGGCCCATAAAAATTATCGAAGTGGTTCATGATTCGACAATAGTTTCAATCTTACCTTATTAGTAATATTCATGTATATTATTTAAAAGGAAATAGCCCTTACATAAGTTCCTGTCATTATTAGGCTTTGTTAAGGATTAAGCCCTATGGTCTTATTGCCTTAGAATAATACAGAGCAATAAAAATGATTGTATGTGTATATATTAAGCGATTTTCTTGTGTATTGCTTTCGTTATCCCGAAACATTTTTGATCAAATAATTTTAATCTACAGATGTAAATACATCAATTAATCGTGCCATAGGCCCTAGAACTTATATAGGTTAATGTATTGATCGGACCCTGTATATAAGCATTATTAGAAACCCATTAATATAAAGAGTGAACATTTACCGGAAAGTAGAGATTTTGTATAATACCCACGATAGTCCTTAAATATTCAGTGTTGAATATTTAACGATTGGTATCGTCAAGTCGCTATTATCGCCAAACTATGTAGTTCGTTGCTGAGTACACAACAATATATACTGTAAGTATGTCATTAACCCAGCAATATCTTTCATTAAGGCGGCCTTATACATAACGAGTTAAACTGAATTTTGGTTATAAATTGGTTGAAGAGAATTGAAAATTAAACAATAATTATTTCAAATATAGTGAGGCCCCGGCACTAACACCCGGAATTGATAAAACAATTGCACAAAAATACAAAATTATCCTTTTTTAGTTAATCTCGTTTTGATTGGCATGCAGTTACATAATAGCTTTTAAATTACCATTTAAATTAGAAAGAAAAATGTAAAACTCACTTGCGTCAAGACTTATCAACCTAATTTGTATACCCGGGAGCAGGGTATACAAATAATAATAGGTAAAACAGGGTAAAATATATGTAAATAGCATGCAGCATTCAAGACTTGAACCTATTAACACATTCTTGATTAGCATCAACAGCCTAGTCGATTCATTTGTTTTGTTATCCGCTGGAATTAGTACCCTCCGATCTCTACCTAACAAAGGACTATGCATTTTGAGTGTAGTTACAAGGCTGTGTAGCTTACAGAGTTGTCTACGTCTGTGGTAAAGAATGACAAAGCTTGATACACACAATTTGGCGTGAAAGTGTTGGATAACATGTACAGCTCACGTCTATTTCATTTTTTGGAGAAACTCCACCGAAATATTTGGATTACGATGAAAAAAACGCTCAAGTTATTCAAGAATACATATCCTATAGTGTGGTTATGGGAAAAGAACATGTACAACCCAGAGAGATTTTCCAAGGTAGTCATCTCGGCCGGATACTCTTTACTCTGTTTATAAAAGACATTTCGTCGGTTGGTTCACCCTAGCGTGCCAATGTATGCAGATCAAGTTAAGTTGTTTCGTGCATATGAGGATTTTGCTTCCATTTACCTATGACAAGCTGACATTGTTGCCTTTCAGTGTCGAGTAAGCCTTTTTAATCTAAAAGATAATGATCATACACTTTAGATAGACTCCCACGTCTTGGCCATAGCTTATAAGCCCAGGATTGTTCCAAGTTTCATTAAGCGATGGTCCAATCAAAAAGCATTATTTCTAATTTTCTCACCCATCATGGGCTCTGTAATATTCAATATTAAAGAATAGAAGCCGTACTTAAACAGTTGCTGTTTACTGCCCTTCTTGGATTAAACTGATATAATACTCCAGTAGACTCCCAAAAACGTGTCTTATCTCTTTAGCTAAACGTATTATTATGCTTGGTTTAATATTCAATTATAAATTAACCAGCTGATGTTTCCCGGCCTTGCCCGTGGCAAGTTTTGTGCTTTAAATTTTAGATATAGGCTTTTTACCCTTTTTTCACCCGTAGACAACTTAAATCTACTTATACCATCTTGAACTCCACCTTTAAAGTTATATTATGTTATGCCAAATATGTCACAAATAAATTTTCATAAAGATCCTTGGAAATTAATTCAATTCAATTAATAAACTTTACCACCAAATTGTTTTTTTCCGAAAAAAAACTGAAACATCTTTTAAATTAATTTGAACAAAGATTGTTGAAAATGAGTTTTAGGCCGATCGGATGCTAAACAAATAAACTTTAGCCGTTTTTCGGGAATTCCCAAAACCCCGTCTTAGCGTGCACTTCCATCACATAAGGTAACAACAGAAATAATTTTATCTTAGCTCTTACGGTTTGGGCTATGCCTTGATCACCAATCAGTTATTCAGTCAAGAAAACAAGTGTTGTATAAAGAGAAATCGACTCCTTCTCAATTTTAACTACTCTAAAACGTAAACCATTATTACTTAAGCGCTGCTCAACTATGCCTTCCAATAAAAATAATAAATATAAAATATTTTATATTCTAAGGTATTTAACACTTTGTGTCGGACTTTCTCTGCGTCGAAGTTTCCCACGAGCCGAGAATCTACGAATATGAGATACCTTTTACACAACAGAGCCGCCGGAAGAAACATTTTTACTATATTGTATGCATACATACAAAACGAACAAACAAACCCTTGTCACAAGTTGCTGTCGATTTTTCGGTTGGCGAAGTAGAAAATATATTTTTGAAGAACCTCCAAGCGCCCATTGTGCGCTTATGTACATCATTTAAATGTCTGCACAAACCTCTGAAAACGAGATTTCAATTTATCTGTCATTCCAATGCGTCATAGGTCTTTTCAAAAGAGATTAACTCAATCTGCGTACTATATACCAAAATAAATATTTCAAATCTAACGTTGCTAGCTCGGATAGCATCTAAGATCGACACGTTTATACAGACAGACAGGGCAAGATCGACTTAGACTAGACTAAAATCGTCGTGCAGATCAAGAATATTTGTTAGGTCGGGATGCTTTTGTCTGCCTACAATATAAAGATATTCACAAAAACATTACACCCGTTTTACCTATTTCAATGGCTACAGGATATGAAAATCAAATAATTTTTTTCAGTGCACACTGTTTTTGTTGCTATGATATAATATCAAAATTCTTTTCTTTTTTCACAGAAATCATGTATTGATTTTACAATTGGAGCTCGACCGCTTGAACGTTATATGCCAAAAAATCGTAATACTTTTAAGTACAAAGTGTGGCGCATTGTTGTTTCTACCCCATTCGAATACTTTATAATGATGCTGATTGTTTTCAATACACTGTTATTGATGATGAAGGTAAGTTTCCGTGTTTGTGTTCCCATTTACATGTAATTACTACTGATTTCAAAACAAACAAACGCATTTTAATTTGGGCCAATGATTAAAAATACTATATACGAGGGCCTTCTGAGTCTACGGTTTCAGTGCTTTTCCTAACATTAATTCATACAGAAAATATTTAATATTACTTGATGTATTTGAAGAAGTATTTCTTTCACTTGATATTGCAACCAAAAGCATTCCCACTTTTGAAAACATAAAACTTTTTTCATAAAGAAAACAACCGACAAAAGCTGGGCAGCTTACAGTCGCTATGGTTATTCTTTTCGTAGCTATGAAAATTGTATTATTCACTCATGAAAATGTTTCAGTAAAGCACAAATAGGACTGCTATAGTCGAAAGTAAACGACTAGAAAATACTCTTAATTCCGCGCTGAGTTCCCTTCACAAATATTCCTGCTTTTTCATATACATACACACACAAAGCGGCTTCACTTTGCCCCACACTATGGGAAATGCAGATTCAGTTCGGTGTTTAAAGTTCGAACGTTATGATATTTTGAGGGCATTAACATGACACCCAATGTATGTAAATACCAAAGGCAAGAGTTTTTTGTTTTTATTCGCTATTCTGAAAAAACAAGATTCACAATTGATTTTATCGATATTATGGAAATGCGACAACGAATGATAAACTCTTTGTGCATATGATTTACGAGAATTTCAAGTCTTTAGCTTTTATAGTTTCCAAGAACGAGGCGTTCATACAACATTGTAATTTTTTTTACCCATTTTCAAGGGGTTCAGACAATAAAATAGGAAAATTATTTTGAAAAATATTGAAACCAAAAAGATATCAGCTAACCCCCGTATTTAGCAACTGTAAGAATTTTATAAAGTTGACACTTTATTTTTTTAATGTACTATTTTTACATACCCGCTATGTTTCAAAATACCCAAAAATATTTATGGTTACATTTTTTAGTTAACCACTATTCAAATTTAGTAGTTCACTGTCACTTCAAAATGTTTCAATGAATCTCTCCATTTTATTTGGCTTATACACATTAAAAATAATGTTCTAAATTTGGTATCAATATGCAACAAATAATATATTATAATCAGCCTTAAAAATGTATAAATCGATGTTGTGAATTGTATATAAGCCATTAAAAATTTAAGTTTGTCCTTATGCAAACTGGCATGGAGTTTTATTTTATTTTTCCTTTTTTATTGGGGTACTTTAATTTTTCCACAAACACGTAACATACGAGGGTATGTATATCGAATTGTCTATGTCGCATGATTAGTCGATGAGAAACAATATAAATAGCGAGCGCGAAAAGGAATTATTGTTGATTTAGGAACGCCGTATTTATGGCGGTAATATTCTATTTTATTACATTATTTTTGGGATAATTGAAATGCGTTGTTCAAATACACACCTCTGTAATCGTACATAATTGCGGACCATTTGCGCAAATCCTACTTTTGGCTAACAGACAATGTCTGTGATGTTTTTAAATGGGAGAAACAAACTAATCATAAACAACAATCTTAACAGTATCATAATCAAAGTGAGATGTATGAAAAATCACTCAAATACATCAACATGGGATTCACAGGCATGTTCAGTGTTGAAACTGTTCTTAAGATAATTGGATTCGGTGTCAAGGTAAGTTTAAGATTGTACAAAATAAATTAATGTAAGTGTTATCGGTTAGCATTTCGATCTTTAATATCAGCTAGATCTAATGTACAGACTATTTAAGTCCGTCTTAAGTATGCTGAAATATACAATGTCACATTATCTTTTGGTAATATTTGTATGTATGTTTAATGGGAAAGCTGTCTAAGGTCATACCAAGGTAAGGTTTTTCAAACTACATATGCTCACATTACCAACATTAACGCATGTATCTATTTCTCTGTGTGCTTGTAAATACATATGTCTCGAAACTTCGTTTCAATATACAGAATTTCAAATAAAAAGGCGCAAATACAAACGAATTTAAACTGGTTTAAGACTCCTACTTCGAACTACTAATTCGCGAATTGTTACAAAAATTCGATACCATTAAAGCAGCATTAAAAGTCAATAGCAATAGTCAATCCCTTGTAGAGAGATATTATTATTTTGTAATGAATTGAATGCATAAACGAAAGACATCTCCGACAAAATCGAGTATATTTGTACATTCTTGATCACTATCAACCTATATAGTTCTATAGGAAGAATCGCTCAGAAAATGAGTTTTCGCTGGCGACAATTTTTTTTTTTTTTTTTTTTTTAAGCAATCTTCACGGAACTCAACAGCTACGAGCTTAACAATTCTTCCTAATATCTGCTAAGTTGTAAGCAATATGTTTACAAAGGTATTTCATCGTCGGCGATCATCATAGTTTTATACAAACACGCTAATAATAAACTAAATATTAATTAGAACTAACTTAGGCATAGCCGTTTAATAGTTTTATTTCTTTCACCCTTTGGCAATTTCGACACGAATATTTTTCAGGAATGAATATTGTTTTTTTTTTTCTTAATCGATCGATGTATATCGAAATATTGAAAATACAAAAATCGAGGCTTATTATGAAAAATCGGGTTTAGTGAAAAATCGCTGTTTTTTTACATCACCTAGGACTATTTTTATTTAAATTAAGCCCATAATAACAAGTGAAATAATAAAAATGTTAATATTAACAATATAGCTATGTTAGATAGCATAGCTATATATAGAATTATGTACGGACATATGTATATAAGTAAACTGTGATACGCGAAATTGCCAGAAACTATTAAACTATTCGGTTTACTCAACGGCAATGACATGTTTTCGCTTTTAATACCTCTCATGTTGATAATCCACGTCTAACGATTTGACAGTTTATACTCTGAGATTTTTTATTGGCATGTCGCGCACAGTGTTTCATCTAGTGGACCAAAAATGTAATTTAGATTTCATGAAAAGCCACTGTTCAGTTAGCTAATATCGATATGTGCTATCGATATATATGACCATTTTATTTTATTTATTTTTATTATTTTATAATCATTAGTTTGATTTTCAATGTCGCTTGGGACATTTGGAGTCTCTATATATAAAACTGACTGATTGTTTGGAGATCAACGCTCAGCCCAAGAGCTGGGAAGCTGAAGTGTTAACCGTAATTAGACGGGTTTTAGAAAATTCAATCCGTAAGATTGGGAAAATTGTGGAAACGGTTGCATGCAACTTTTTTTTTACCATCCGATCTGCCTTGATCTCATTTTCAAAGAACTTTGTCCATATTACATTGAGAGGGGGTTGAATCTTTTCAGAAAATTCACTACTCACTTGTAATGGGAGTCAAAGATTTGACGGATTAAGTTTTGGGCTCAAATTTATTTCAAAATTTTTTTTTTTTTAAATTTATTTAAGATGTGTTTTACATTTTTCGCTCCACCCCTCCTAGGTTAAGGTTATGCCGTCGATATTTAAAGTCTTTTCCGATCGGATTTAAGCTTCAAAGTATCAAATATCTTTTTGAAAAGTCATTTGCGACCGAATTCACACTTTTCGGAAAAGCAAGCCTTTACGTTGCTCATTGCGGGTCAATTATTTTTTTGTTGAAGCTTTAAGTTTCATCCGATCGGCTTTAAACGTATACTTGGAGCCTCACGATTCTCCTCACATATCTGTAAAGCCGCAAGCCTACAAGGACATTTAAAATCGTTCTTTTTGCCAATCAATATATTTTATCTTCAAATGGGTGTAATCCACCAACTTACTATCCAAAGTGTGCTTAGCCCAGCTCTCCACCCAAGTCAAAATTTTGAAAAACTCTCTTTTGGTACTCACTTTTGACCCTACGGTTTGGGCTATCCAATAACTCACGCAGAACATATTTTTTTTTATATATATAAATAGATTTAAATATGGAAAGGTCGCAAAGACCATCACTATATATAGATAGAACAAAAATGTCAATGTATATATTTATTATGTATTAAATAATGTTGGTCCATTTGTATCATTTTATTTTATTTGTATCAAACATATATGGCATGTACTTAATTTTTTTATTTCAAGGTTGGGCTAAGAACTATGTATCTATTTATAAATGGATACGATGTGCCTTTAATTTTCATGTTAGTTAAATGTAATAATTCATCTAAAACAACCTTCGGTTCGATCCCCAATGTCTTCGTGTTCTCATTTTATAGTTTCATGATGCACCGCCCACGCACAGTGATATACTGACCTATATGAACCTGGTATTCACCTTGTTCTTCTTAATGGAGACAATACTTAAATTAATAGCGTTTGGATGTACGGTAGGTATTAATGTAAAATGGGTCGTTCATATGCGCTCGTGTTAAATGTACTTATGATGATTACAAAACTAGTTTGTTTGGAATAGTTTGTTATTTTCGTTATTTTATTTACATTTAAATGATTATAGCATTATATGTTGATGAAAACTTATATAGTGTTTTAGCAAACTCTGCGTAAATTAATAGAAGGCCCTTTGTTTTGATTGAAGTGAATAATAATTATCAGAATGTAACATTGTAAATTTCAGCGTATAAAATTGTATTTTGTATATTGATTCAAAACTAAAGAAAAAAAAAAAAACAACAAAAACAAACAAACCCAAAATAATGCAGTTGAGAAATAAAATGATATTACACAAACAATTAAACCTTAAATAATATATAACCATTTGTTTTATAGAACTTTTTCAAGGATCCGTGGAACATTTTTGATCTTATTACTGTATTAGGCAGCATTGTGGATGCACTCTGGATGGAATTCGGGGTAATTATATGCTGTTTGCCATAGCTAACTTTGAGCATACATATTATTGTTGTGTTCGATTTATGTAGGCCGTTATGCAAGACAAACAAACAATATAATCCATTTAAAAACAAAATATTTATTTTTGCCAAGATACTCCTACCCGTACAATAACAACAACACATTCATATTAATACTTACCACAAATATGAAAACATATACACGTACACATATGTATATTTATACCCACGTACACATACTTATGTGAACATACGTGCATATGTATTTAAACGAAAAATTTGGATTTAACGTCAATATATCCGATTAAAGGTGTTAAAGGTCTACTTTTACGGAGGGAAATAATTAATAAGTACTTTACACATCCAAATTGATTTTTCGAAATTTGCTATTTGTATGTTCATAGGAAATCTAAGTCAATGACTTATCTTATATTAAAGATAAATGATTTTAAACGCAAATGTCCTAGAAAATCTTTTAACAATTAGCATATTTAATTTATATATATTACTGTATACATGAACTTTGGTTATTAATCATGGAAAATCAATAACTACAGTATAAAGTGTATATACTTTTTAGTGGACTCAGCGGGGAAAAGTGGGAGTTGTTAGTTGATTTTTGCTACAATGCTAACGTAAATAATTATACTAAAAAAACGAAATCGTGAGGGAAGATCAAAGTTGGGTTTAAGGACTCCACAGAAGTAATACGCAACGATTAAATTAGAAAACTTCCAGGTTATTTTCAATGTTATCTTAGTGTGTGTTTTCAAGGGCAATATACATATGACACTGCTCTTGATATTTAAACCGCCAATGAATACAGCTACACAAGAATTGTTATTGACAAATGAACATTTTATTTCCATGAGATTTTACATAAAAAATAATATTTCTTTTAGAAACTCCCACGAAATACAGAAATTAATAATCATATTTCTTTTTGATTTCCTTTTTCATATTTATTTGTGTACGAAAACGAATACCAAATACGAAATGTGGTCTCAAAATCGGGAAAACCAAATCCGAAACAAACAAAAAACGATGAATGCAAAAAATAATCAAATAAAACACTCACGCAATCCAAAATTTACACCCTTCACGTATATTAATGTATGAATTATGTAACACGTGCAAATATTTACATGTATTCGAATTTATATATATGTAACGTAAATGCATACATGCGACTACATATGTATATATGTAAACATCAAATATTTTGATACAAATACCTTCTATTAATAAATATTTCCACCAAATTTGGCCATCGGGAAACGAAACGTCACGTTATCGCTGCCCAACACGAAATTAATAATAAAATAATGATAAAAAAAAAACAAAAACAAAAAAAACACCCACACTTGTACTATGTAATTACAAAACCAACACCAATGCCAATACTAAATGCAATGAATATGCAACTAACTCGCTCATCACAATCACAACTTGTATTAAAAACAAATTCACCAAACAAAATTGAAATTATATAAAAAAAAAAAAAAAAAAAAACAACAACAAAACTGCCACCAAATTAATTATGAAACGAACCAATTAACAAATTAAATTGTATTACAAAAATGTTGTCATTCAACAACTTTGCATGTGTATGTGCTTCAATTGAATGTGTTATCTTATACACATGTTGCACATACATATGCATACATATATATCATCTACAACTACATCGACATGTACAACAAATTTCAACACCAACAGCACGATGTAAGTACGAAACACAATCTACACAGAATTGCATTTTTCAAAATCTCATGTGCTCGAATCAATGATTTTAGATTTCGCTTTTACTGCTAAGCACCTTTCACTTACCTAATAAGCTTATTAGATCTTATATTTTTGATCTTATATTTACACATACAATTTCTACACACATTTTTATTAAGTGTTGCATTTTTTCCTTGATTTGCGTGCCCTAGCAGCCAGTATTGTAAATTAGTTACGAAATGGGCGCAACTTAGTTTTGGGTCTGGAAAGCTAGATTTAAATAAAACAAATTGGTTTTTAGGCACCCATCGGTTTTTTCGCTAATTTATATTGAAAATTGGAATCCAACGGGAACTCTTACTTTATTTACCTGAAGCCAATTTTAAATTTGTTTTAAACAGTTTAAGACTCAAAGAAAATAAAGAGTGAAAATAGCCTGAAAATCGAAAATCGGAAAATTTTAAAGTTTTCTATTCAAATAACGGCGTGTTTTGGATATTTTTATTTTAAAACTCACAATAAATAATAATTAAATTTTTTTTAAACTAAGCATGACACACAATGTACATCTATGCAGAATGACATGCTGTGTATAATAGCCATGAATTTTGTTAGAGCTTAAGTGAGTTTAATAAAGATACTAAGTTGTTCTTACTTGAAAACGTCTAAGTTTCTTATGTCAAATAGTATACCAAATGTTGTCACGAGAACCAGAGATCAAAATATCAAGCTTATGTTAGAAAAAACCTAATTAATTGAAAAGAATAATTTGACAAAAAATACGCTTTGATATTTTAAGAAATGACGATAAACAAAAGCTATTTTCGTAAAGGAAATTTCAACTTAAATCCAAGAATACAGAAGTTGCGAATACTCGTATCTGTAATTTTCAGTTTTTTGTTGCAAGCCCACAATATTGCGTTTGTACCCACTTGTTATCTTCTTGTTAAAAATATAAAATATATATAAACTGCACAGGATAAAACGCATAAAAACACCAAAAAATCGCAACCAAATGCTTAATGAGCCGAAATAAAAAGTTTAAAATAATAATAATATTAATTTATATTATTTCAAAAAGTTCAAATATAAAACCACTAAGAACTTTGCAGTCGGGTATAACCGAAACTGCGTTTAACGTGGTTTGCAGAGTAGGTACCGACTAAATCAAGCTGTAAAACTGTTATCGCAAAGATTGATATTTCAAAAAGTTCAAATAAAAAACCACTAAGAACTTTGCATTCGGGTATAACCGACTGCGTTATACGTGGTTTGCAGAGTAGGTACCGATTAAATCAAGCTGTAAAACTGTTATCGCAAAGATCTAACATTTAAACTGTTAACTGATACTTAGGGCTTTACTTCCTAGCTTTAATTATTCAGCCCCAAAAATAAAGCGGAATAGATATATAAATGAAAACACAATATAGGTATTATCAGCAGGGCTCCTGTTTTCACTTTTGTCTCGTCCGATTTCGGTTTTACAACGTAGGGTTAGGTGCTCCTATATTCGCAATCCACAAGCTCAAAAGTTTTCAAAACGGAAATTTATTTCTCCCCTGAACTCATTGAAAATGCGTAAAAAGGATACAATAGTCTTATTCAATATATATGTAACAGACAGAGAAGGCATTTTCTGTAAAGTATAAATAAACGCAACGATCACCGAACCAATAAGAGCCAAACAATAATCGATTTTGATATCACGTTATCACATATCGATGAAAAAGTTTGCGAAAACAGAAGCACCTAAAAAGGAATTCATGAAATCGTAATTATTATTATTAGTTCAGTTTTCTTCATAAATGTGGAGTCATGCATCTGCTGTTATATTCGCGTGAATTTTACCCATTTTTTGCGCATGTATTTTATTAATTGCTCAATCAAATTGTATTTAGAATTTGACCAGAAAAATGTACATATACTTAGAAACTTACAAAATAAAAACTTTTGAGCCCGATTAAAAGCACTGAAACATTTGATTTAACAGTCAAACAATTCCAAGCTATAATTTAAATAGAGATTTATAAAACAAATGACTGTCGGCCCACAAAAACAATTTATTCGTTTCTTGAATACAGAATAATTAATTTCTTATTTGTGTAAGTGGAATTATTAAGCTGACCAGTGGTGAATGTAAGTAATACATAGTGGTCGGCAAGTCAATATCAGAACCACCAAAAGAACTCAAGGTACTAAAAAGGATTTCAGTTAAGCACTCAAAGTTTCCAAAAATAAACTTATGTATACTCTTTAATTGTATATACCTATTAACTTTTCCGCATGATGTAAATTCTATATGGATTTCTTGAGTGCCATGTTTATAGCACAGGGCAATACTTTGGCCTATTCAATTTAACCTACTTAGGAGCCTCGACTATTCTGTTTTTACTATCCCTTTTCACTACAGGTCTTTAACAACGTACAGCATCTTTAGATACTGAAGTAGATTTTTCCCTGTCATATTCTTAAGATATCTTAGAGACTTTCAATTCCATACATTCCTCAACAAGCCTTTCAATATTGTTTGTGTATATTGCATTGCTGTTCTCATATGCTAATCGCAATCTAATCAGATAACAAACGCCGAAATCGAGTTGGTTTGTATCCCTCATAATATTTTTAGTAGTATAATATTTGATAATAACACAAACGCTTTTTAAAGTTGTTTAGATTATTAAGATGCATGCCGCGAACTAAAACTTCTCTCTGAATGTACAATGTACTTTATTAAAAAATATACAGTACTGTTAGGCTTACGCTGTATAACTGCTTTGTTCATATGATCCGTGTTTGAAATTTGTATATTTTTTGACGTTCTCTTCAGGTTAGTAAGGTATGAACCCAAAGTAATAACATCCTTCGGTACCATCAAAAATTCTTAAGAGTTATGTTATTTTGCTATTGTCATTAGATTGCAGGTAACTTTATGCAAACCGATAAATTGATAGTACTTTATGCTCATAGTAACGTATGTACAAGCAAGGTGTAATACAAAATATAAATAACCACCACCATACTCATACATAGTAGTACACATAAGTGGCTTTTAAAATTCAATTTATAGAGCAGTTCAAATGCAGCGTGATGAAAGATTCAGTAAAATATGTGCATTTCAATTTAAATATAATTCTGATCACATATTTTCATTAATTTATATTTGCATATTGCAAAGTAAATTATTACTACTAATTTTAAACTCTACTTTATAAATTTCTTTGTTTTTCTAAAAAAAAAAAAAACGTAATCGACTACCTATAACGCCGCCAACGTCGTATGAAATCCGCAATTCGATTTAAAAACAACCAATACGCACTCGTTATTGCGAATAAATACTATAATTAAATAATATAAAAAAAATAAATTAACAATTATATCAACAAAAATAATATTTCCAACGCTCAACTGCACTGCTACAATCACACATTTCATTATCGTTGAAAACTTTGCAATTCATCCTTTGGCTGCTGTCGATTCGAACTCAATGCAACTTAATACAACTGCTGTTTTAAATCCATGCAATTAACTTGCTGATTGGTATTTCCAAAAACCAACAACATTTTTGGCAAAACTTCGGTGACAATCCGGTATATGAGTTGTGTGTTCATTAATTTCAAAAAACCGAATCCAATATTTCAATTAAACATGGTTTCTGATTATTCTACAGGATGTAAGTAAACAAACCAAAACAAGAACAGTTTTATGTTTATTTTATTAATTATAAAACTACAACAACAAACCACAAATAATTTTTTTTTAGCAATTTAGCTAAACGTTTACCATATATCCTTTTCTATATTCACATCGCATCGTTGATGTTTTCTTCCGTAGTAGATTCAATTGTCTTGATTTTCAAAAATACATATTTACATATATGTATTTAGCTACTCATTAAATACTATACTAGTCCAAAGTACACCTCTCTTTTAATTTTTCGTAGTACTCTTACACCATTGCCATTGCCATGCCATTGTTGACATGGACTTGGCTCAAATTACAACTCCCAAATTGCTTTTCTTTACATAAAAACCTTATTGTTACTGCTTATATCCTATATCCTGCTAGTGGATCAAGTGAATCAAAACCAGTTTCCCATCCAATAGGTATACCAAATGGAATACTCTGCAATATACCCGCCTATGTATGAGATTTTTACAGATACAGATGGTCTCAGTGTGACATTTAGTATCTTAATGGTTCACAATAGCAATAGCAGTGCACACAGCGCATACATACATGCATACATACAAATGTACATACTTATTCAGAGATAATTGTACCTTATAACATATCTAACCATTATTTAATCTATTTACTTATATAGAGGCCACGTCGAGGCGGTATGCGTCTCCAAGTCAGTCGTTGCCAAGCACTTATTTACTGATGTGTGTGTGTCACAGTCACGGTCACGTTTGCAGTGACCGTTGCTGTGACTCCTACATTCGTACGTATGTGCAATGTACAAATACACATGATTTTTAAATATGCAACAGCTGATAAGTAAAATATGTTGGTCAAAGTTCTTGAATCGGTTACTAACCAATGAGTGCCAAATCACAATACATGCGACAACTTATATGTACATATTTTTTTGACTGACATACACTATTACATAACCAACCTACTTTTACACTCCAATAAAACAAAACAAACTTGTGTACACGTGTACAAATTAACAAACGGAAAATGTACATACTGATAAATATAAACAAATTATTTTTATGTACGTTGTACTTTGTGTATCGTTATGCTATTTTATCATTGCAAAATCTCGCCCAGATAGTTTAGAACAGTACAAAAAAAATTCAAATTCAATTTATTTTTTAGATTCTTAACTATAAAGACCCCTAGGCCCAATAATTGACACATTTTCAAACTGTTTTGTAATTAGTATCAGCATCTTAAAAATACAAATGCACATGTTACGCTGTATTGGTGTGGTAGCCAACACACACATATACACACCGACAAATAAACAAGCAGACTCCCATACAGTTAAACCTGAAACTAATATGATACGAAATTTCTCAATAGTTTTTGATTAAAAGTAACATACAAAGAGAAAAAATGTAATAATGTATAAACAATTAGTTTGAAATACTTTTTATTTAGCATTTTGTTAAAAATAATATGTATTTTATACTTGTTTTTCATTATTATTATCTCTATATATCTGAGTATATACTATGAAGATTTGATTGTAATTATGTTATATTTTATATATAGAAAAATAGGTAAATTAAATTCTTTTAATGATTCGAACTTTACTGACCAATCAAAATTGCAATTATTTAATGAATCGATCAATACTAACTAATCAAACTACAACTAACTTAATACAACTATGTAAATGTATGTACTTTTATTATGTGCTACTAGTACCACTACTTACTTACTACTGCTGCTACTGCACTACTACCTACTACTAATATTACTATTATACTACTACTACTACTACTATAACTGCTACTTAAAACTAACGAACTAAATGAAAAAAGCAAAAAAGCAGAGAAACAACCTGAGATCATATTCGAACTGAGCTGAAAGGCGTCAATTTCGAATATATCTGAATTCATTGGTAAAAACGATACACCATCACTCTAATCTACTCTCCTTATTTTCTGTTTTTCTCTTTTTCTCCCTTTGACCAATAATATTTTACAGTCGAACTCAATCAACGTTGGCTTCCTGCGTTTGTTTCGTGCGGCGCGTCTTATAAAATTACTTCGTCAAGGATATACAATACGCATTCTCCTGTGGACCTTTGTACAATCTTTTAAAGCACTTCCATATGTCTGTTTGCTTATTGCAATGCTATTTTTTATTTACGCCATTATTGGCATGCAGGTAAGTTTCCGTTTCGCGCTAAACTGAACCTTTGATTATCCCAGAAATGGGAAATAATGAATCGCAAATTTAGCATAAACATAACACATAACACAGTTGATTAATCATGGTCAAGTTTGGGATATAGCCAACATAAAACTTGGGATCGATTAGTAGCTATTTTAAACAATAGCCTTAAAATATACTTATAAAAGGATATACATATTCCTAGTTTGATTATAATTTTAAACACCATATATATATTTAGTTTTTAAGGCCAAAGCCCATGTCATTTTCACAACAATCTACTCATCATTACACTTAGCAGATAGACTAAATTATTATAATGATTTAAATTTAAACATTTCAATATTTCTTTGTATAGCTTACCTTTAACGAAGAAAACCGCAGATAGTGCAATATTTGTATTAATAGCAATAATAATTCTTTTTTGAATTAACGCGCAATAGGCCGTACCTCCGATATACCTACGTTAATATTAAAATGGGCAATACTTGGGTTCAATTATTCGCAAATTTATTAACTTTTAAGCTGTGATTTTATAGTGGTTAAAGTTTATTTTGGATAGGTTACTAAAATGTTTTTCAACCACTTGATGTAAACATTTATTAAGTTTAATGAAACCTTGACAAGGGTCCCTTCCAATTTTCATAAATGTATGTAAATATATACTAAGGCCTTCGATTGTATTGCTATTTCGCAACACGGAAACATAGCGGTCTATTTTATTTTTTAAAGTAAGTCAGTCGGTCTTAACAATAACATATGTATTAACAATTTGATGCGTGGCTTTTCGAACTATAGCGTAGAGAAATTTGAAATTAGCTTTAAAATATCTAACATAAACCAATTATAATATCTCACAAACTGAAAGGTTTTTGGCAACATTAAATATGATCCGGACACACAACTGAATCGTCACAATAACTTCCAATCGTTCTCTGGAGGAATCATGCTGCTCTTCCGGTAAACGAAGAATAAAGTTACTTAGTGTATCTTTAGTGTCTATAAACGATGGCACAAACAGACAAGCATACCTACATAATTACTTCATTCATATTAGAAAAATGTATGTAGTTTGCCTAAACTCAGAAATCCAAGTGTCCATACACGTGACGATTTGACATCAACGTGTGAGGACATCGTACGTACATATATATATATTAAACAGTCAATACCAGTTGCAAGTCACAAATGAGGAAGCACTATGATTAGTAATCTGCTGTCTTTTGTGACTTGGATAGTTTTGAAGCATCATTTAGTTATATTTTCACATAATATAATACATGTTACTCGTTTGATTCGTTCGTTAATTATATAGACAAATCAGAAATGTAGAAAGTACTAGAAAATGAAACTCCAAGAATAAATTGTATGCATTAGCTGTGACAGTTCAAAATGTGTTTCTATAAAACACCCAACTTTCCTTAAAACACTTAACCTAGTTTATCGTATGTATGAAACTGTTGCCATTGTAGTTACAGCTATCGTTACGACTTACTATTGTAAATGCGCGGTAGATACCTTATACACGTTAATTTTCGTATTGTTACAAAGTTTTGCTCACAAGCATTTGTTTGAAATTTAATCAATACAAATATATAATACACTTCAATAAAATCTTAAGTTGTAAAATAAAACAGTTGCTTACAACGCAGTTCGGGTTGCGTCAGCTTTCATAATTATAAATATTTAACTGGGCCATTAACGTTGCGTTAGAATTCGGCTTTACAACCAATACCTATACCTATACCTATACCTATACCTACACCTATACCTATACCTATACCTATACCTATACCTATACCTATACCTATACCTATACCTATACCTATACCTATACCTATACCTATACCTATACCTATACCTATACCTATACCTATACCTATACCTATACCTATACCTATACCTATACCTATACCTATACCTATACCTATACCTATACCTATACCTATACCTATACCTATACCTATACCTATACCTATACCTATACCTATACCTATACCTATACCTATACCTATACCTATACCTATACCTATACCTATACCTATACCTATACCTATACCTATACCTATACATATACCTATACCTATACCTATACCTATACCTATACCTATACCTATACCTATACCTATACATATACCTATACCTATACCTATACCTATACCTATACCTATACCTATACCTATACCTATACCTATACCTATACCTATACCTATACCTATACCTATACCTATACCTATACCTATACCTATACCTATACCTATACCTATACCTATACCAATACCTATACCTATACCTATACCTATACCTATACCTATACCTATACCTATACCTATACATATACCTATACCTATAGCTATACCTATACCTATACCTATACCTATACCTATACCTATACCTATACCTATACCTATACCTATACCTATACCTATACCAATACCTATACCTATACCTATACCTATACCTATACCTATACCTATACCTATACCTATACCTATACCTATACCTATACCTAACATATGTAAATCCATCCTCTTTTCTCGTTATATACATATTTCATTAGATATAGCAAGTCAGGCACTTAAATTTTCTTTTAATTATTTTCATACCCAAGTATTGACATATAAATATAATTGTGTACTCCACCCAAAAATACACAGACAAAAACATAAATACATATCACCTACATATTTGTTTTTTTCTGTAATAAGCAATATTAGGATCCTTAGTCCAGTTATTATTCAACTTATGTTTGCATTTGCTATAACCAGTACCCGTATCTAAAACTCTCTTTTCGTGTGTGAAATTTAATTACTAAACCTGAAAGTCTTGATCATAGGTGGCTACACGAATATTTCTTAGCTTCTGTGTTCAGTGGGTCATATATCTGAAAGTTCTACCTATATTAGAGCACTGTTTAAAAAGCAGCGCAGAGTTAATTACAAAAAAAAAATTATAAAAAAAATAGACAAAGGATATATAGGTGAAAAGGTGTTATGTGTTTAACTTTTTCGTTTATAGTTGCTATTAACAATATAAATTAATCATTATATTATTTACCGATATTTAAATCGTGCATAGGTATTCGGAAATATCAAACTAGGTACAGTGGAAAATTCCATTACTAGGCACAACAACTTCCAGTCATTTATACAAGGCGTCATGTTGCTCTTCAGGTATGTAAACTTAAACTCAATTGCGATTAATCGCATAGAGTTAATACAATTACAAATTGTTCGTTAAGCAAATTTTCGATTTTCAATAGTTAAGAATATACAAAAATACATATAAATATATATATATATGTATATATTTATGTATACCCATTTACATAGTTATATTTCCACATTATATACAAGCTACCTTAGCATTAAAATAATATAATATTTAATAGATTTCTGTCTCGTACTACACGAGTCTAATATCATCAAAAACTGGAGTTGAGGTGATGGCCAACACCACTGTATTATTTTATTATAATATTTCTAGTGAGATAATAAGAAGATTTAACTAGCATTAGATACAAACTATTATTTTAGGCGATTTTATTATAAAATATCTTAGACTCTTAGCAAAAATCATGGTTAGGTGATAATAATACTATAACCCAATATTAGACGATGCCATAAGTAAAATATGACAACAGCAGCAAAATGCAAAAGTCGATCGTTATAAGTACAATGGAACCTAGTAATAATATGCATTAAAATATTAAATGATTTTCTTATGACCTCACAACAAAACTTTTATGCAATTTAACAAGTGTGTTGGGCAGTGTATGTAGAAGTTTTTTATGCAGCAAATATATATTTATAATTCATATGAACCTTTTCTTTTTTGTTCTTTGTGTCTACTTTTTATATACAAAAATGGACATTTACTAGCAATTTCTGTCTGTCCGTCAAACTATGGATATTTTTTATTTTTATTCGATTATTTGGCCACGACTGTTAAACAGTGTATAAGTTGCGAAATTCGATATAGGCCTAATTTTTCGAGATAGAGCTAATTTCGCCACGCACAATTACAAATCGCAAAAGTAAATATTTCCCAAAGTCAATATTTAAATACACTTCTTAGGGTTACATTCTTATAGACACGAACACAAAAATAAAGACTCTTTTTGTTCTTAGCTTTTATCACACTGTAAACAGGGCAAAGCAAGGTCGGTTGCATCCATTTTTGTTCATTTCTTATTTTGGACTTCCCAAATAGTTTTAGCTCGTAAATGCCTTAGTATATAAAAATGATAAAAGATATGTCGTGTCCGTATCAGTTATACTATATAAAAGAGATTTCCGGTAAGTCGGATTTGAGGTAGCCTTACTCCATATCAAGTTACATAAATATTCATTAGCCTTTAACTGTGCATATCCGCTTAAATATGTTTATTGTTGTGAAAGGAGAAAAATAATTGCCTACTTCTACAAAAATTCAATTAATCTTCATACTGTACAATTTTGATCATTACAAATACAGAGTACTTATGCAAATACCAAATGTAGTAAATTGATTACCTCCAAACGATTTTTCCCTGTGTATATACATCATTGCTAGAATTTTTTCAGTTATAAATCTGATATATGTATGTAACTATTCCTATGTATGTATGTGTGCGTGCAATTTGATTTGGTTGCACTTTTATTGTTGCCGTTGAAGTTTCAGTTAGTGGTTGAGCTAAGTTATTTTTAGTTTTTAAAATTGTTTCTCACAGTAGTCATGCTCTATACTTGGTAAATGTACAGCAAGAAAGGACAACACCTATATAATATAAAAGTATACTTCAAGTTATATTAATAGATGCATATGTATGTATACATAGATATAGAGACTCATCTGGGCTTATACAATTTCCTATCCGAGCACTTGCGGATTTTAGCATTGTTGTTGTTCAAATTTTTGGCCACAAGCTCAAAGAAATATGTGTATGTAATCAATTTAAAATTATATTCTAGAAGTTGGACCAATTTTCGCAAATTTTTACGACTTTAACGCTTTTGTCGTTCACTTCGATAAAAAAAAACATCCGGAGCCTTTTTAAATACAAACATTCAATTCACTACGAACCTCTTTGTATTATAATTGTAGCTGTTGAACAAATTGTTTGAGCTTTTTATAATTGGTTTTTATATAAATAAACTCAAAAATAATGGTTTTCACATTTACCATTTCCGCACAATTGCATTAGGCATAATAGTTGGTCACGAGTTGAACGATTGGGGAAATTTCCAACATAATACTGAGACGGAGAAATCTCCTATATACTTATCCGACTTTTTGTCTGTCTGCCTGTTTCTATGTAGACTAGTCTTACAGTTTAAAAACTTCCTGAAGAAAAATAGTGCTCTTATATGCATAATTTTTTTGTTTTAAAGATAGCTTTACCAAACTTACCAAAAACGTGCCTGCACTTAGTGAATAACTAACAGACGGCCTCAATTGCTAAATAAGTCACTCTTTGAAACTTGTAAGCTACTGTAATCTTTTGACGCATTTTTTTGCCGAAAGATGGGTCTTTCATGCTAGAAACTAAATGGTTTCTGGCTAATATATATAACAATATATATATGTATATACATATATATATATATATATATATATATATTTGTTTACATTTGTTATAAAATATATATACATATATAAATATATATAAAAAAATTACCGGCCGAACCAAACGGCCTAAAAGGTTTTTCCAGGGCTAGTTAGGCTACCTTAAATTTGGGTACAGGGCATTTCGTAATCGAGCATGCATAGTGTTCTTACTAATTGGTAAATAAAGCTATAACCATAAAATTGTTAGATGTGACTAACTGACAAATAGTGTAAAACATGTTTGTTTTTCGTTTAATTGGCTTTAAGCTTAAAAGTTGCCTGTTATATTTTTATTTTTCTACTGGTGGGAAATAACTGGACGATTGGTGGCTTCATTTAAATACATAGAATATGAGTACAAATGTAATGCTCGACTAAGAGATACCCTTTAACCAATGGTAAAGTATCCCAGAATATATACTATATGCATACATTTATATATATAGTCGTATATATGACAGCATAAAAAAATAAAGAATATATAAATATATATGTATATGTATGTTGTTGGTATGTTGTATTTAGTCTGTATTTAAATATTTACTATGTAACTATGTAATCTTAAACCAATTGCGTATATACATATGTGTATGAATTCAGTAATTGTAAATACACATTTACAAACACTCACATTTATAACATAAGCTACGTACCGAGTTATTTTCTATATGCCATTATCATGCATACATAAGTAAATCAGCATTTACGTAGAAAGTTACTGACTAAATCCTGTTGTGCCACGATGAATTTTAATTGGTTAACATTTTTCGTGCCGTCCTTGTTTTAATTGGCGACCCTCATCCTTGATGACAACCTCAAAGATGTGCAACAGGCGAAGCGTGGCCCAACATAATGCTCGCATGCCTCAAAGGGAAGGCCTGTGACGATGATGCTGAGAAGGGTGCCGGAGAGTACTGTGGTTCGACGTTGGCCTACGCCTATTTCGTATCGTTTATATTCTTTTGTTCGTTTCTAATGTTAAATCTGTTCGTGGCCGTCATCATGGATAATTTCGATTATCTCACGAGGGACTCAAGTATACTGGGTGCTCATCACTTAGACGAATTTGTGCGCATATGGGCGGAATATGATCCAAATGCGACGTAATTATCACTTTAATATATACATCAATGTTCATATACTTAATTGTTCCTATTTCTTAATTTTTATAAATTATATCAGAACACTTCGTTACTTTATTTACCACATACACACATACACGAAAATATTAAATGATTATTATTTGATCGTATTTGTTTCATATAAATTCCGGTCAAAATAACAACTTAAAAGACTTTACATATGCAAAAGCTAAGATCAATAAGAGAAGCTGAGTGCACACATTAAAATATTCACATTTTCCCCTTACATTTAGTGGTATGATTAAACAATATTATTATAAAAATTATTTGAGTATATTTTTATACTCTGTTCAAATTGTAAATAGTATACTACATTAATTTTTGTGCTATCCGTCCGTATCTCCCTTTGAGCTTAATATTTTTAGACGAAGTATACTCTTATATACTCGCCAACCAGGTAACAAACTGTAAACAGAAATATTTCGTACTACAGTCCGACCCCATAAAGCTTATAAATTCTTGATTAGGACGACGAGGTGATTCGATCAAGTGATGCCGTCTATCCGTCCGTTAGTGTGAATCGATCTCGGACACTACAAAAGTTAAAGAATTGAAATTTGAATTATATTTTATTTTCTATATCATACGCAAACGGAACTTGTCTTTTTTTTCTCGGTATCATCTTATTTGACTTTGTTTTATTATAAAACGAAAATTATTAGAGCTAGATAGTACATTAAACTTTATGAGTAGCTTCCTCCGTTACCCCCAAATGGGCTTCAGTAATTAGACACATTCGGGTGGTAAATTTAAAGAGATGGGACAATAAGGCCATTGCCATTTGTGCCAAAGAGAAAGGGAAGGTTATCCGCATTATTAAGTGTACAGTAAACTGCGTTACATGTGTATAGAAGAAAGCTAGAATATCTGACCGGCATATTGACAGTATAAAGCGGAAACTCGAATGATTGTATAGATATCTCATAGTCGTGCAATCTCTGCAATCTCTTACCTGCAACATCACTTTTTGTCTCTAATAGCACTATGAACAGAGTACTGCGCAGTCAGTTTGTACCAAAAATGGGTTTCACCGTTTTTGTGTTCTTGTGGAAATTACACTATCGTGTAATTGATATAGGAACTTTATTAGTTTTCGCTTTCAAATAGTTTTTTTAAATTTTGTTCTGTCCTGTTTGCTTGTTTTAGTACCATGTTTACTATTCTTCTATGCCTCACAAGATATTTTATATTTATAAAGAGCCAATTAAACCTATAAACTTATAAACTTGCTAATAAATAAACTAAAAAACTTGTGAATCTGGTTAAATATTTATAAAAGATCTCACAAAATTCTGATGTTTTTGTCTGTTTTTGCATTTTCAAATGCATTAAATCTTTAAAAGGTGGCCCATAAGATCTTGTGATTGGTGTATTTAGCTTCGGTGATATCGAATATAATATTTTGGTTTGCCCCCTGACAATATTAATGCCCCATCATGGAAACTAATATGTTTTTCCTGATTCTGCTGTTGGATGTCCAAAATAGTGGTAGAATACATTATACCGAAATGTATGACATGCTGAAAAATATGGATCCTCCTTTGGGATTTGGTAATAAATGTCCGAACCGCCTTGCCTACAAGAAACTTATACGTATGAATATGCCATTGGACGATGAATTAAGAGTCCAATTCACCACAACGTTGTTTGCTCTGATTCGAGAGAATCTTAGCATTAAAATGCGCGCACGTAAGTTCAAATTAGTTTGTCAACAAAAAATATTAATGCATTGTTCGTTTTTGTTTTTTGTGTATCCTCATCTAGCGGAGGAAATGGATCAGGCGGACATAGAGCTCAGGGAAACCATCACGAACATTTGGCCATTGCAGGCCAAGAAAATGTTATATCTTTTGGTTCCTCCCATTGATCAATTGAACAAAGGAAAACTGTCAGTTGGTAAAATCTATGCAGGTTTTCTCATATTGGAATCCTGGAGAAATACAAGATTCGGACAGATTGATTCAGGCATGCCGGTAAGTCTTCAAAAATCCTACGTTAACAAGAATGTGTCGTAAAACTCATACTTCAGCTATTTAGCATGTTAATAAGGGCAATAGCCAATTATGATAATTCCTATTTGGAAAAAATGGTTCGAAAAGGTAGCCTTATACTTTCAATGCCATATCAATACCAACTCTGGACATACTTTTGCTCCCAGGGGTTATAAGTCAGTCCATTTCACTTGTTTATACATACTTATATTTTAGATATAAAAAGCTATTAAGTGCAAAATGTAAAAAGTTAAATATCTAAATGCTAGAACTGATCTGTTCATGATATAAGTCGAGCATTTTAAAAAATACGGGCGTAGGAATTACTTTCCCTCTACATACAAATATATATTTTTTGGATATTTATTTCTGTCAGTTACATCACCCTCATTTGGGCTAAATATGTGTATAGATAGTGTAATCAGTTTAAATAAAATACATATGTATTTTAAGCCACACCCGACACATTAAGCCAACTACATCGACATTGCATATTTGATAAAAAATCGATTTATTTTGGCATGGATTGAATTTCCTAAAAATATTATAGAAACTTAAATATGTTCTGTAATCCGTCCATTTCTTAATCATTTATAAGATATTTTAAGTTAGACCCATAAGAAAATAACCAAATAAATTCTTTACTGGGCCAAACAAGATAATACTCAGCAAATGCAGGTCAATAATTTATATAAATTTAATCTTAACCAAAATCTTTGGCAAAATATTAAAGACTAATAGAATTATTTGAGAGGAAATATAGTTGAAAAAAAAAACAAACAGAAACGTGGATAAAGCTACGGTCGATAATTCTTTATTTTAGTTACCAAAGGTTAAGAACGTCCAAATAAGTCTGGGGTTGTGTCTTTTCCACTTAGTTTTTGTTACCATTTCCGGCGGCGCAGTTTAACAATATAGCATATTATATTATTTATCTGAAATTAAAAGTTGTTGTGCAGCAACTACTACTTGATGATAAATGTTCAACAACGCTTCGATATGAGCGAAAGCTGCTAATTTTCGATGACAATTCTTTGTAAATATCGACATAATATAAGCTTATGCATAATATATCGATTATATTTACATTTCTATAATTATTTATTCAAATTTGTTGCCTATTATTGTATAAATATATTTATAATATTTAATAGTTAGCAGCACTAACCATACAATGCATAGACTTGTCAAATGTCAAAATAATCGGATACCGATAAATCGTCAACGACTGAGCCCCATGGGTGACCGCGACCATTTTAGTGTGCCCAGACAAAGTAAGACTGCTGAGAGTGGCAGCCGAACGCCGGCCTCGACAGCCGAACGTTCAGTATGAAGCCGCATCCCGCTCAGCGCACAACGTTGCTGCGGCTGATGCTGTTTTGTAATATATGTATCTTTTCAGCCCAAATACATACATATGGTGTATATGCGTGTGCAGAGTGCCCCTCGCTCACACTTATTGCTTTGCGCACTTGTGTGCATCTCCTTCTCCCTGCATAGCTTCTCAAAAACCCCGAGATCTACAAACATACATACATATGTTTGTGTTGTGTGGATGTGCGCACAAGTAGATCGCGGCGTTTGTCGCGAGCCAGAGATTTTTTCTTCAATTGTGTGCCCTTTGTGCCTGTGGTGGCAAAAGGCACACACATTCAAATGCTCTATCATGTATTTCTTCGTCCAGTCAGGCATAATGAGAAGAATCTGATATATTTATATTCATTAAAAACTTAAATGACCTAAATGATATATTTATATATTATATTTTAATTTTTTTGTTAACTGTGGGGACCAATTTTGCTTAAAATTAAAAAAAAACTAAGTCGTATTTCTGCAAGGGTAATGCTTCGTCGGCTTGTCGAATAATTTAAGAAAAGACCAAACATTGAAAATGTTCAATTTTTTCGACTTGCTACTTGTGCACACGCACACTCTTTCGAGTAAGCAGTTGGGTGACATTATTAAAGGGTTTGGCCTGTTCATGTGCAAAACGCCTATTTTCCATGCATGGTGTAAGGGTAAGGGTACCTGAACGTTGGCATGTGTGCATAATAACTTTTTGGGCCTGCCAAGCACACACACTTACACACTTTTCTATATGGATGGAAGCATTTATGCGTTTGTGTGCGTGTTGGTTGCCTGCCCCTGCCCGATGCAAATTTGACCAAATTTGAAGTTTTTGGCATTTCTGAATTTCGAGCTCTACACACAGACACACACACACACAAAAATGTGTGCGAATGAGCCGATCAAGGGTTTGTCGTGAGACAGAGATATTTTCATCAATGGGTGCGTAAATTTGGGCGACGGTGGGCTTGCGGCCGCGAAGCATACGCCTTGCAGAAATACGACTTAGTTTTTTTTTAATTTTAAGCAAAATTGGTCCCCACAGTTAACAAAAAAATTAAAATATAATATATAAATATATCATTTAGGTCATTTAAGTTTTTAATGAATATAAATATATCAGATTCTTCTCATTATGCCTGACTGGACGAAGAAATACATGATAGAGCATTTGAATGTGTGTGCCTTTTGCCACCACAGGCACAAAGGGCACACAATTGAAGAAAAAATCTCTGGCTCGCGACAAACGCCGCGATCTACTTGTGCGCACATCCACACAACACAAACATATGTATGTATGTTTGTAGATCTCGGGGTTTTTGAGAAGCTATGCAGGGAGAAGGAGATGCACACAAGTGCGCAAAGCAATAAGTGTGAGCGAGGGGCACTCTGCACACGCATATACACATATGTATGTATTTGGGCTGAAAAGATACATATATTACAAAACAGCATCAGCCGCAGCAACGTTGTGCGCTGAGCGGGATGCGGCTTCATACTGAACGTTCGGCTGTCGAGGCCGGCGTTCGGCTGCCACTCTCAGCAGTCTTACTTTGTCTGGGCACACTAAAATGGTCGCGGTCACCCATGGGGCTCAGTCGTTGACGATTTATCGGTATCCGATTATTTTGACATTTGACAAGTCTATGCATTGTATGGTTAGTGGTACCACCATGGGTGACCGCGACCATTTTAGTGTGCCCAGACAAAGTAAGACTGCTGAGAGTGGCAGCCGAACGCCGGCCTCGACAGCCGAACGTTCAGTATGAAGCCGCATCCCGCTCAGCGCACAACGTTGCTGCGGCTGATGCTGTTTTGTAATATATGTATCTTTTCAGCCCAAATACATACATATGTGTATATGCGTGTGCAGAGTGCCCCTCGCTCACACTTATTGCTTTGCGCACTTGTGTGCATCTCCTTCTCCCTGCATAGCTTCTCAAAAACCCCGAGATCTACAAACATACATACATATGTTTGTGTTGTGTGGATGTGCGCACAAGTAGATCGCGGCGTTTGTCGCGAGCCAGAGATTTTTTCTTCAATTGTGTGCCCTTTGTGCCTGTGGTGGCAAAAGGCACACACATTCAAATGCTCTATCATGTATTTCTTCGTCCAGTCAGGCATAATGAGAAGAATCTGATATATTTATATTCATTAAAAACTTAAATGACCTAAATGATATATTTATATATTATATTTTAATTTTTTTGTTTACTGTGGGGACCAATTTTGCTTAAAATTAAAAAAAAACTAAGTCGTATTTCTGCAAGGGTAATTCTTCGTCGGCTTTTCGAATAATTTAAGAAAAGACCAAACATTGAAAATGTTCAATTTTTTCGACTTGCTACTTGTGCACACGCACACTCTTTCGAGTAAGCAGTTGTGTGACATTATTAAAGGGTTTGGCCTGTGTTCATGTGCAAAACTCCTATTTTCATTGCTTGTTGTAAGGGTAAGGGTACCTGAACGTTGGCATGTGTGCATAATAACTTTTTGGGCCTGCCAAGCACACATACTTACACACTTTTCTATATGGATGGAAGCATTTATGCGTTTGTGTGCGTGTTGGTTGCCTGCCTGCCTGCCCGATGCAAATTTGACCAAATTTGAAGTTTTTGGCATTTCTTAATTTCGAGCTCTACACACAGACACACACACACATAAATGTGTGCGAATGAGCCGATCAAGGGTTTGTCGTGAGACAGAGATATTTTCATCAATGGGTGCGTAAATTTGGGCGACGGGCACGGTCTTTGTTTTTTTCGGCATGCCTGCGGTGGGCTTGCGGCCGCGTAATGCACACATGTGTGAAGAGGCAACGAAAACAGGTGAACCGCACTTGCCGCTCGCTTGCACTTTGATATGGAAAAAATGCAAGTGATCTTTTTATTTATTTTTTGACATAGTAAACATTTTGGGTTAAAGGGTGTTATGGCAGGCAATAAACGATCAGAATGTCCAGCATGCGTCTGCATCCATTTGTCCATTTGTTCACACATGTGTGCCTTACGCGGCCGCAAGCCCACCGTCGCCCAAATTTACGCACCCATTGATGAAAATATCTCTGTCTCACGACAAACCCTTGATCGGCTCATTCGCACACATTTATGTGTGTGTGTGTCTGTGTGTAGAGCTCGAAATTAAGAAATGCCAAAAACTTCAAATTTGGTCAAATTTGCATCGGGCAGGCAGGCAGGCAACCAACACGCACACAAACGCATAAATGCTTCCATCCATATAGAAAAGTGTGTAAGTATGTGTGCTTGGCAGGCCCAAAAAGTTATTATGCACACATGCCAACGTTCAGGTACCCTTACCCTTACAACAAGCAATGAAAATAGGAGTTTTGCACATGAACACAGGCCAAACCCTTTAATAATGTCACACAACTGCTTACTCGAAAGAGTGTGCGTGTGCACAAGTAGCAAGTCGAAAAAATTGAACATTTTCAATGTTTGGTCTTTTCTTAAATTATTCGAAAAGCCGACGAAGAATTACCCTTGCAGAAATACGACTTAGTTTTTTTTTAATTTTAAGCAAAATTGGTCCCCACAGTAAACAAAAAAATTAAAATATAATATATAAATATATCATTTAGGTCATTTAAGTTTTTAATGAATATAAATATATCAGATTCTTCTCATTATGCCTGACTGGACGAAGAAATACATGATAGAGCATTTGAATGTGTGTGCCTTTTGCCACCACAGGCACAAAGGGCACACAATTGAAGAAAAAATCTCTGGCTCGCGACAAACGCCGCGATCTACTTGTGCGCACATCCACACAACACAAACATATGTATGTATGTTTGTAGATCTCGGGGTTTTTGAGAAGCTATGCAGGGAGAAGGAGATGCACACAAGTGCGCAAAGCAATAAGTGTGAGCGAGGGGCACTCTGCACACGCATATACACATATGTATGTATTTGGGCTGAAAAGATACATATATTACAAAACAGCATCAGCCGCAGCAACGTTGTGCGCTGAGCGGGATACGGCTTCATACTGAACGTTCGGCTGTCGAGGCCGGCGTTCGGCTGCCACTCTCAGCAGTCTTACTTTGTCTGGGCACACTAAAATGGTCGCGGTCACCCATGGGGCTCAGTCGTTGACGATTTATCGGTATCCGATTATTTTGACATTTGACAAGTCTATGCATTGTATGGTTAGTGATTGTATGGTTAGTGTTAGCAGTTAGCATTCGATAATATCGAAGTGTTGGCGATAGTTCAAAACTATCAGAAATCGTTGCTGCATGACATTCGACAATCGTGCCGCCACTGGCTTATCGGCAACTTTTAATTGCTTATATTTCGTAAACTACGGAATAGAGTTAAGCTCCGCCACCGGAAAAATTTTGGTAAAAGAGACTTAGAGGGATTGACACCACCCCGCTCATCGGGATGCACAAAATTTTGCATCTGAAGCCGTTTTGGAGACCATGCGAGAAGCTGTCAACATTATCAATTATAACAATATGAAGAACAAGCATAGAAGCATATACATAAACAAATTTTACAAAAATTCCTAAAAGCGCCGCCAAGATTAAGCGGAGTAAAATTTTGCAGATTTTGTAGTCTTAAATTTCAATAAATAAAATACAATTTAATGTCGGACAGAATTTAGGCGGTTCTGCCTGAACGTAGCCTAAATAATTATGACCGAATAAATGGTGCTAAAAAAGATTCCAATGGCTTAGATATTATCACTAACCAAAAAACATATAGATAGGACATGCAGTGAAAACTTGTTGGTCACTTTAAAAAATATGCATCTGGTCCAACGAGCGAGTAAGATATACATATGACATCTTTTGATCGCTCACACTACAGGAAACTCCTTTGGCTTACTCTCTTCCATATGATTTGTGCGATAGAACGGCATCGCTGTTTTTTATCTCGCTCCCACAACAGGAAACTGCTTTGGCTTACTCTCTTCCATATGATTTGTGCGATAGAACGGCATCGCTGTTTATTTTTATCTCGCTCGCACTTACTCTCAGTGCTCTCAATGCTCTCTTTATGTCTAGGTACCGTTTAAATGTTTGTGTGTGCATGTGTCCGCACAAGCAAAAATGCCCACAAATTCAATTTTTGTCAAAAGTCGGTGGCATTTCTTCTCTTTTGAGGGGACGAGTAATATGAAATAATGAAAGGGTTTGCCAAGTCGATGCGAAATTCTTTCATTTTAGCTCGGTCTTGCTGGAAAGGGTACCTATGCGTTGGCATGTGTGCATTTAAAAGTTTTTGGACTTGCTATTCACGCATACTTGCATATTTTGTATATGAATAGAAGCATTTATGCGCATGTGTGCCTGTTGGTCCCTGCCTGCCTGTCCGATGCAAATTTGACAATATTTTGTGATTTCTGAATTTCGAGCTCTATACACACACACACAGACACAAATGTGTGTGAATGGGCAGATCATGGGCGCAAAAGAAAATATCATTGTCGGCACGCGTCTGTCGCGCACCCTTCTTTTTATGATTTTGGGTTTGCATTGATGAATGAATGTTGACCCCTTATTACCTGCAGCAGCCCGTTGGGCCGAAAGGGTAAACTTTTGGCAAGCACCTGTACCTGCATATGTAGGTCAAGTGACTGATCACTACTAATTTTAGGAAATTTGTGTAAAAAATAAAATCTTTAAAATATTCAAATATACCAAATACAAAAAAGGAGCACTTATATATTACATAGTATACATACTTTTATTGTCTTAAAATATTGAGCTTTTTCATATATGAATTTGATCTGCAGGTAATAAGGGGTCAACATTCATTCATTAATTCAATTCAAATGATATTTTCTTTTGTGCCCATGATCTGCCCATTCACACACATTTGTGTCTGTCCGTGTGTGTGTAGAGCTCGAAATTCAGAAAACACAAAATATTGTCAAATTTGCATCGGACAGACGGGCAGGGACCAACAGGCACACAAGCGCATAAATGCTTCTATGCATATACAAAATACGCATGTATGAGTGAATAGCAAGTCCAAAAACTTTTAAATGCACACATGCCAACGCTTAGGTACCCTTTCCAAAAATAACGAGCTAAAATTAAAGAATTTCGCATCGACTTGGCAAACCCTTTCATTATTTCATATTACTCGTCCCCTCAAAAGGGAAGAAATGCCACCGACTTTTGACAAAAATTGAATATGTGGGCATTTTTGCTTATGCGGACACATGCACACACAAACATTTAAACGGTACCTAGACATAAAGAGAGCATTGAGAGCACTGAGAGTAAGTGCGAGCCAGATAAAAATAAACAGCGATGCCGTTCTATCGCACAAATCATACGGAAGAGAGTAAGCCAAAGCAGTTTCCTGTAGTGTGAGCGATCAAAAGACGTCATATGTATATCTTACTCGCTCGTTGGACCAGATGCATATCTTTTTTGGTGACCAAAACTTTTCCACTGCATGTCCCATCTATATGTTTTTTGGTTAGTGATATTATGTTACAAAATTATAATATCCTCTGCAGGCTCAAAATTTTCTTTAGATCCAATCTATGCCAATAAATCGATATGTTATTAGTAAAAATAGGCGCATATTGATTAAATATGTTATTAAATGAAAATATGTGATTAATAAATATTATGATTTTTCTTCTCATATGTTTATCAATGAACTCTCGAAAATAACTTAAAACCATAATAAAATGTACTACAACAAAAATGATAATTTTCATTAACAAATAAAAACGCAGAATTGGAAGGAGGTATATAATTAATTTATATGCAACCTCGCACTTTACACAATTGTAAATGTATATGTTGGTCACATATGTATCTATCTAAAACACATTGCATACTTGTTGCTTTATTTTACCTATACATAATCAACTAACTAAAATTTACAAGTACCAGAAATTAAACTTTTTCCATCATATTGATTTAAATTATTTGGCAAAAACTCAAGTTTATAGAAAGTATTACAAAAACAACTTTTAAACAGTAAAAGATTTTCTAAAAAATCAGTCAGTCCTCCAACTTTTGAGGATTATATGAACAGAACTTTATATTCATTGTATTTCGAATATAGTATAATTTCGTCAATTTTCGTCATCAACTGTGATCAGTTTTTTTATGATAGTCGACTCCTGAAGTTAAATAAAAATAAAAGAACTCGAGTCGTAGGTCTTCAACGCACTGCTTCCAGGCATAAAAGCGCCAAAACCTTAGACAAGTTAATATTCAATTACGAAATAAGTGTTACCTCAAATTTAAAATGTACATCCTAAATTTTTCACCAGAAGCCTTTGTTTTTACAAATTTCAAATTCCTTCCTTGTTAAATCAACGGAGCGTGATTTTTAAAGTAATGTCTTAGGTATATGGTCTCTTAACGATCTTTTCATAAGGTAAAACAGACAGATATAAGTTTTCTGCATTGTCCGTGTAGCTGTTTTCTAAAAAGATTCTACATTAATCCAACATTGCTGCTTACAACAAGAAAATGGTTTTTAAAAATTGTACATTCTTTAATTACAAAGAAGAAAAAAAAAATGATGGAAAAAGTCGTGTACTTTTGTGTTCTTCCAAAGTGATGCACTTTAGCTGCAGTTAAGTGCAGTCTTATTGGACAGAATATATCTAAAAAAAATTGTGCATTTTCGGAAACAACATTACCTATACTTTGATATAATTCATATTAAATGAGTTGAAAAATAGTAGACACATATATTGGTAGAGTTAAAGAGTTGATATTCTGATTGTCAAGTTTGACTCGTATGTTTGCTATTAATTTAGGTACAAGTAGTATTGTTTTATGTCTTAATTCATAGAAAAACAAATACCCATTTAACGACATTTTTATAAGTAATACATAGTTCTTTGGCCAAAATCAGAGTTCGTCTGTTATTTGTTTGAACTGAGCAAATCGTCTTAAAGACCTTTGATAGCTTTCTACCAAACAGCAAAATATAATTTTTAAATTACAGTCAATTCATAATAACTACAAATTCGTTAAGACTACAAAAAGTAATTAAATTACATACATTGTTTTATTCTTGTTAATGCACAAACGATCGATAAATTAACACTGACAAACTGATTAAAATCAAATTGTCGTAAATACATGTAATTGGATATTTGGGCAATGATAGCGGAAGAAACCCGATGATGATGATGATCGTAAATGTAGCCCAACGGCAGTCGAGGAGCCGGTATATAATCTATTTACACATCTTTCGCTTGATTTTACTTTGCCATTTATAAGCTCCCTTTTCACCCATTTGCCATTTAAAAATGTTTTGCAAGTAACTACCAATTTCGGCTAGCGGCATGTGTAGATACTCGCATAGGAACGTGAATATACATATAGGAATCAAAATACACTAGTTTTATGCATTATGCAGTATTATTCTTCATAGACACCCAAAAAATTTCTAAATATCTAGCACTACAAAAACACCTATATAACAAATAATTGCAATGCTATGGTTATATTTCTGCTTTCAAAAACCACACAAATGCTCTTCCCTGTCACTCGCTCACCAATCAAGGGCTGGCGAAGCTTCAATTTAAAATCGGATTTCAAGCCAACCCGCTCCTTTTAATGCAATTGCGAAAAAGGCCAAACATATACTTGTATAAAATCGTAGTATATGACAATTTCTAAATTATTTTATCAGCGTTGTACATGCCGCGGGCACTAACTTGTTTTCTAAAAAAATTTACATACATCCCAAATATGATTACAAATTAACCTTAACCATTTATAGTTTCTTAGGACTTTAAAACATTATGTGCATAAAACTAAAGAAACACAAGAAAAAAAGATGCGCGTTATATGTATCGATGGTTTTACAAATGTATTTATAAAAAAAAATGTTTATATCCGACCGATTCGATCTTTAGATGTAATGGTCCGATCCGATCGACTGCTGTCTATAAAAAAGCGTACCTATGCAAAGTTTCATATATTGGTGCTGCTGTTTATCAGGAGTATAGATACCTCATGGGACCAAAGATGCCTACCTTTATATGATACGCATTTCGTGACAAAATTAAATTACCCTCTGCATGGTTCTTACACAGCCACCGAGTAGGGACAATCAGTTAGCTAAATTATCATTGCCTTATCGATACTAAACTGCATACCAATTAATATTTGGGCAAATTAAATGATGCCATAAGGTCAACCAATTTAAATAGAATAAAAATCGCACTTAGTCCAATTTTAGACATTGTCCACCCTCTGCAGAAGTTAAACTAAAATATTTTGTATAAAATTTAAACGAGAAAATAATTATTTTATAATTTATCTGAGCCTCTTTAATAATGCACATTTTATAGAGTTTTGCAAACGAATTTCGCACCATTATATTTGTTTGCATAGAAAGGCATTGTTCTGCAATATTTATAACCCATATAATAAATGCATTCAAATATTAAATCAAGAAGTTATCTAACTAAACGTTATATATGCAGTTATTATTGCTTATAGTAACATAAATGCCGGAGATGGGTACGGCAATTACAATAAATATAAAACAAATTACATAACGAATTAACAAACTGAAGTATAAAGAAAAATAAATAGTATCAATAATTGTTCCAAAACAATAGCAAATGTCCTATATTTAACATTTTTAGTTGATTCACAAGTTGTGCCGTTGAGTTTCATATTCCATTTTTATGATGATAGGCATGCATCAAAATGTATGTCATAAGTTAGGTAAAAATTAATATTTGCATATCTAACCTAACTATAGACCTTAACTTAACAAAACGTTGGCATGCAACAAATAATCTAAGCTGAACGTGTCATGAAGATGCAACCTAATCTTAGCAGCCTTACAATTTGTTTTTTTTTTGTGTTATACATTGCTATCTAGAAACCCACACTACGCTAAATCAAATAAATATTCAAAACAAAAAAAAATTAAGTAAACGAAAACCAATTCTGTCCAACTTTTCTATAAATTAGCACACATATGTAATTCTCATAAAAATATATATACACATAGATTTTCTTCAAAACCTAGTGAGTTGTCAAAATGTTTGCGCATGTTTTTACCATAACGATCGAAACAATTACAAATAAAAAAACGAAACTCTTTTAAGCAGTTATTGAATACACAATGCGAAAGCATTAATACATACATATTGACACACATTTTTAAATTACAAATTAAAAATTACATTGAGCTTTAAACATCTCTTAACGGTATACTCCTACATATGTATTAACGAAATCTCCAGAAACCCCGCTATTTGCCCATTATTATAATATTAATATATTTATATAATACGTAAACATATATATTTATAGAATATTTAAAAACAACAAAAAAAACATATATATATATATATATATATACATATATATTAATTAATATTTTTATGTTATGTGCTTTTATTTTGATACCCACTTATTACATTTTCAATTATTCTATAACAATTCTTACATTCCATTTTAATGCTTGAACATAATCAAAATCGAAAAACAAAACCCAATGCGTTGCAATGTAAACATAACTCCTTATACTCACCACTCACTCAACTTATCTACAATGATACAATTGAACTTGCCACAACGTTTGAAATCTACATGCAATCAACCAACAACTAAAACGTATCGATTTGCGAACTTAAATCACATACAATCACAATAAAACAATTGAATAAATAATAAAATAACAATAATAATTCATTGAAAAAATTATAACATGCAATCTGTATTCATTAAATAAATACATCAATAACATTATGAAATGGTATTAACGAATCCGATCTGGCACCGATCTGGTCTAAAACTGCAACCGCCCACTGCAAACAAATAAAAATAGAAACAATCATTCTTTAACTGCCTGCTCGATATGGCAGCCCTTGACAAAGGAGGATCGCGACAGGGCTCCATAAGTTTTGAGCCGAACGGGGAAGGAGGCGCCAACTCACAAACACATTTATTAGCAAGCACTTATCACGCAAATGGTGATGTCGAACACAACAGTTTGGCAACACTTGCACGTCGGAGTACGATCAGAAAGCGATCTGTTAGGTAATTTAAAAAACACACCTTAACTTTACTTGTAACGACCAAAGTATTGCCAACGCCATTAACATAACCAAATCATCATCATAATCATGTTCATCATTGCCAACACTATCTTTTTCATACATCATTCACATTGATGCGCATTATGCCAGACAGAAATGTAACTACTTTTTGTACGTTTACAAACAGCTTCTTAGAAAGGCCATGCCCATTCGTAATGTCCACTAAAAGCTTTATTATTACTACAGTATTTTCAAAGATACCACCATATATATCACTCTTATTGCTCTATATGCCATCTGGTCATCATTCCTCTAAAGCCTTTCGTGATGATATACCATATGACACCTAGTAAAGTATAAGTATAAGTATAAGTATAAGTGATTTCAAGTCATTCCGTTGTTAGTCCAATTTACAAAGTCAGTACAATTTGAAAGTGATCGGGTAAAATATATTTTGACCAAGGTTTGATGCACCTTACGTACTAACAGTTTTTCAGCAGTGATTCCGTCCTCTTAATAGAACAATTTGTTATCGTATTACTTCTATGTTTGTTATAGAGATTCAAAGAGCTTTATACAACAAACCTTTTTTAAATGACGTACAATAGCCTTTTTGGTAAAAAATACGGATCAAAAAATGTATGAGTTAGGCTATAAGTTTTGCCCGATCGCCATATAAATATTATATATACATAGGTGGTATTTCGAGGCGTAACCAGGTTTCAAGTTTTTTTGCTTTAAATTTTAGACAAATTTTACACCTATTTTCCGAACGCGTACTATCTCAAACTCCACTTCTAAAGTAATGTTTTACAAAGATAATTGAAAACGAGTTTGAAAGTCATCAAATAAAGAACCAATTGTTGGAATCAACGGTTTTCCTTATTTTAGTTCTGTGGTGCTAGGCTTGATGCCGAAAAATAAGCTTTTGTTCTTCAACCGCTGGGCTGCATTTTTTTGTCAAAGAAGGGTGGCTTTTGCAAATGTTTGACACACGTCTTAAAAGTTTTTCCAGATAGTTGAAAAACTGCTTATTGTTGAAAAAAAGAAACTGTTTTCCGATTATTTTCCGCAGTTGCAGGTGAAATTCCCAAAAATCGCTGAAACACGTATTTAATACGATCTTATGTAGGGCTTTGAAAATTAGTATTGAGCGAAACTCGAAATTTTGCCCATACAACCTTTGACTCATATTGATACATTTTGCAAAAGGTGTAAGTTGCATTTCAAATAAATTTTCTTTAACCCCTTTGCAAATGATCTTATACCCGTAACTTCGTTTATTAAATTTGCGACATGCATTTTCTACCCACGATGGTGTGAAACACGTATAATATCGATATTCGAAAATATTTTTAAAAATGAGTCGAACAACTATTTGTGTATAATATTTGTGTATATTGTGTATATGTCCAAACTCACTGATTTTGCGAATAGTCACAAATCACTGACCGCCATTCGGCGTGATTGCCTGCACCTCCATTATATATATATATATATATATATATATATATATATTATATTACATTCAGTACCAACAAATTTCAATAACTTAATCTGTGTACATTATACAAGAACTCGCCTGTAAATTTGTTGAGAAATGCTCAAAAGCCTGATTTCGATATCGATTTTCAGCGAGTGATTTGAAACGGGACAAGTTATCAATCATTTGAAACGAACGTGCGCGGACTATATGAGAATCTACGTTCAATTACAAATCTCTAATTCTTATAGGTTCAGAGATCGACGCCATGCAGACAGACAGACGGACATGTCTAGATTCTAACCTATGGGATTGGAGATGATTCCTTTCCCATAAGTTGTTTTGATTGGTGCAAGTATTGAAATTTTTAAAGATTCTATAAAAGATAATTAATTAAAATACTTTTATAGTTTTCAAATTTGTTTTATAGGCCTTTGTCCTCTGACACAGTTATTCCTACTTTAAGCTTAGTAAAGAAATTGTCGAAACTTTAACATTTAAATATGTGTAGCATACTTATAAAAACACTAATAATACTATGCAGCAGTATTTGATCAAGTTTGATGAAACCAATCTGTTTTAATACATAACGAAGTTAATGTTTAACAATTTTTCGTAGGCAAGTTTGTTTTAGGGGTCGGGTAAATATCTTTCTGAAGTTTCAAACAATCTTTAAATGCACCAATTTTGCACCAATGGAAAGCTAAAAGATATACTAAATACTAAAAATGGTGTGAAAAATTGTCAAAATGTTCACAAAGTTCGTAATAACAAAGTGAATATTTCCCAAACTATTAATTTTTATTTTATTTTTTATTATTAACCATTTTATTTATTTTAAAAATAATATTTTTATAACATTTTCAAATATGTATAATTATTTTTTTAAAAAAACTCGCTTACAAATTCCTAATATCTAATATTAGGAGCACCAAATTTATAAAAAAATAAATATTGCCTTACAAATGCGGTTATTCGGCTGACATCACTCTTTTCCAGTTGTTTTCATATGTACCCTATAACTGGTTATGTTGTGGATAGTGCTGAATACATTGGAGTGTCGGATTGTGATACGACGATTTCATTTTCAAACTCTCCGTGTGCAGTCCGACCGCTAATCGCCAGGCAATCTTAGGTGTATAAGGAAACTTCACGAGCGTCGACTACCCGATTCCTCTCCCATTATTCCCTAGAGGGAATGCTTGTGTTATATTTTCTTTTGAAGCACAGTTCGCTGGTCTTTTGCTTAACAGATGGGCATTATATGAAGGTAGATTTGCAGTAAGTTTAGGAGTGTGTTGATAGCTGCTGCGGGGCGTGATCACAGGGCTCCTTGGATGCCTGCACAGGCGTCTTATTTTAGTCCCTTAGTCCATTTTAGATTATTCTGGTTACCAGGCTCCCAGCTTTTACCAAAAAATTCTCTGGTGGAGTATAATGCGATACATGGTTATTGTCTCCTCTATAGGTCGCTTCCAATTATGTTTTGCGTCCAATATCATTCCCATATATTTCGCACTGACCGATATTTAAGTTAGGTTTCCTCCAACATTAGTTGGCTGTATCTTGGTACTTTTTCTATTTTAGTAGAGAGCATTAATTATGTGTTGTGTGGGCTTACTCCAATAATAAATGCGCCTATCTGTAATGGGGTCAGACAGGACCCTGGCGACCGCGTTCGAGTGCCGCTGCAAATTGATCTGATCTCCGACCTGTGTTAGGCGGAGATTGCGTGGTTTGTGGCGTACCACGGGAAGCTGACCACCTTGCGTGCTGCCTTGGCTTGAAGCAAGAAATTACATGTACTTGTCCCATTGTACTGCGGCTGTTCAGTGTAGTTTCCAGTGAGGCCTGACTTCAATAGCAGTTCTAGCGATTCTTTCGATGAATTCGTTGCTGTGCCGTCTGGATTATTCAGCAACGTGTTCCTTGTTTGTTTTTTAGCAAGTACCTCCAGTGCATCACAATAGTGCGTCCTTCTTCTGTTTACTGTCTTATTGCATCGTTGTATGGCTTCTAGTCTTTGGAGGATGGATCATGGAACGATTTCCCTCTCTCCTTTCTGAGATGAGAGAGTTCACTGTTCCACTATGGTGAGTACGTTTTCTTTAAGTTTATGAGCACACTGATGCTCAATTTCTTTTGAGCATATGGGAATGGACAATGTGGACAATATCGCAGTAATTTTTCTATTTTACGGGTTACAGGTAGATGTAAAAAGCTTGGTCAGAAAATGATGGTTGGTCGATGCCCTGTAGTTGGGATGGGGTGTTTGACACATAGCGTTTGCTCCCTAAGAGTCGACTTGGTGTGTCACAAGTCATATCTGTCTCCAAAGGCTATTGGTGATTTTGCCTTGTTATGACATTTTTATTGCCAATCTTTTTATGTATATATTTAATCAGGACGACGAGGCGACCGTATGTCTGCATGAACGCATCGATCTTAGATACTATAAAAGCTAGAGATATGAAAATCTTGATATGCCTTCTCGTATATTATACCCAAATTCATATTTTTTCGATATACACAGTTAAACCTCGATTACCGTCAGTCTCATAGCCGGGAACATCTGTTTACTGGGATGCTGAGTGGTTGATTTTATATATTATAGTTAAATAACCACTTCCTTAAACAAATTTTTTAAATATTTATTTTTTATGAAGATGGTGAATAAGATATCTACAGATGTGAAAACACATAACACCACTGGTTTTTGTTACTTTTTCATAACGATCTTTTAATATTTGAAAAACATTACAAGATGTTGTTTTTTTTTTTAAATAGAAGGTTTTTATTTTAAATAAAATCGAATTATTATGTTTCTTATTCTTACAATTAATTAAGATGCATTTGAAAACGTTGCTTGTGAGGATGGTTGTATTTTTTTGCAGCTGTATTATACAAATAAATATAACAAAATAACTTTGTTTTAATAAAATCGCTTTAAATACAGCGAAATAAGCGAAAATGCGTAATGAGCTGGGCCTTGAGTTTCACGGATAATCGAGTTTCAACTGTATTTATACATACAATACAAAAACACAATTGACAACTTCAAGTATCAGGTATACTCTAACTTTGGCGAATTACTAGATTCCGAATAAACCGACTTATATTTGTCTGTATCTTCAAACAAAACCAAACAGTAACTAGCCCAGTCTAGTGTTTTTGGAGTTTTATTTTTATTTTTTATTTGAAAGACGAACGATTAGAAATGCTAAAATATAATTAAGTAAGTACGAATCAATTTTAAGGTACTTCGACCAGAAAAAGGTATCTCCGAGTCAAACCCTATTCTTCCAATCTGTGTACGGTGCTTTCCAAATCATGCTATATATTTTAAATAAGTGAAGAGCTTTCTTAACGTTGGATTCTTTTTTTTTTTGTACTTCATTACGCCGTTCAAAAAAAAAATCTTAGCATTCAGAGAATAGAATATATTGTTCTGTTAATTTCTCGCCATTAAAACTGGTTAAATTATTACATGTGACACATATTCAAGGATCGCATCCTCAATATCATATACATACTCATTGACACACTTTTCATACATAGCACAGGCATACATACATAAATAATGCATACATATATGAATTCGCAAAATAATATGTATAGGTCTGCAAATATCAATTTGTAAATCCACAAAACAACACAACACTTACAATTTTGTGCTTTGTACATTTACAAAAGTAAACTGTTTTTTTCTAATTTTTAAATAATTTCAGAAACAAAAAGGTGAATAAGTTTGATAAACTCCAAGCGGTAAACCAAAAGAAATTATCAAAAATTCTAAAAATTTAAACAAGAATAAATAATTGTGTATTATATGAATATATGTGAATACTCTTTATGTCCATAATCCGTTTCCGATATAAATGTTGTTCAAAAACCAAGTACTTAAATCAAAGTAAAACACTAGTACCTTTGAATATACGCTCACTCATCTACATATACATTTATGTATGTATGTAACAATATAAGTATCTATATACAAATAGAAATAAATGTACATGCGTGCTGTGTATTTTATGTTCAGCAATTTGCGTTTACTTAATGGTAACTTACATACATACATATTTGTTGCATAGCCATTTATTGATCAGTTAGAAAAGCAAATCTTCGCTTAGTACTCATAATCAGTGTTGTAATTTGATCGTTGATCTGTAGGTATAAGTACTTGTACAATGTACGTAAGCATTCGTTCGGCAAATGTTCCAAGTTGATAACAGAGTTTCGCAAAGCATTGCTTTGACAGCGCAATGGAGCCATGGGAGCTGTAACCCGAAATTAAACTAACAAAATTAGCAAATTGCCTGCGCAAACGAGCTACCTATGCGAACTCTGATCAAACATAAACTGAAGCTTAGTAAGCGAAGCTAACATTTACAGCATTAGTGTTAATATAGAAATGTGCTTATGACATTTTAAAACCAAAGCATTGTTACTTAGATTTGTGTCCCAAAGTAACAAATTTCCTTGACAATATGGAAACTAAGACCCTTATATACAAAAGTAGTTTCAAATTTAAAACATGTTAAAGCTCTGGTGGTTCCGTACTGTTTATTTTCGTTCCCGAGTCAATTTAGTCTGTTCTTATAGAGTTCACCAGTGAGATATACCACCTCGGTATCAGAAATCAGAACAATTTATGTAAATAGTGTAAATTCTTTATTTTTTGAAAGTCCATAGTTATATAGTCAACATGTGGTAAGTAAATCAGGTGCATCACTTGATCATGGACATTTGGACAGGTCACTTAGCTGCACATCCACCAGCACTTGCAATCAGATACAAAAAATAATTGTCAATATATACAAACGCTCATAAATAGCTTATTAAACTATAACTAACAGGAGAATGCATGCATGTAAATACATATATATATATATATATATATGTATATACAATTATATGTATACATATATGTATAATTAGATGAAGATGTTTATTAGATGTAAATATAAATATTCACACGCTCATTTTTTACTTTTTCCTTACACTTGATTGCTTGCTTCTTCTGCATTGAATTACAGCCATGTTTACTCATTTTAGACAAGTATAGATGAACACATATATCTATTTATTAATTTTTAGTGTAGTAACAATGTACATAAAGTTGTAATATAGCATCATTTGTCTGTTTGTATAACATCGACTTTAAATTTGGTATCTTTTTATTATTATATTTGATTCATTTGGCCAATGTGTCACTTGATTTTACATAAATATAGGACAACATTTAACTGCAATTATGTAGATTAATCTGGGTCTTAATTGATTGGCACATCAAAAAAAAAGGAAAAAAGTAACACAAATGAGAAAATCGCATACTGATATCAAGAATCAAATTAAAAAAAAAAAACGTCAATGAGATAGAAAAAATATAATACATAACTAGTACATAAAATACAACCCAATACCGAAAATCTAAATTAATTTTAAAGTGTTCAAGTAAATAAACATACATGTATACTGTAAGTAGTGTATGAAATTGTTTAAATGTTACACGCCCTAAACTAGGTTATCCTGCATTTAAGAACCTTTCGATACTTCAACCTAGTGCAATTAAAACCGCATTTGGATATGTATTTTGTTGCAGTGAAGTAATAATTGTTTTTTAATTTACATATTATATATGTATATCCCCTTTAAATACCTACGCAAAAAAAATAGATTTACATATTTATATATGTATTTATATTTATTTTGTTGCTTTTGTTTATACGTATATATTCCCTGCGCTCCAATATGGAGCATTGGTAAAATTTGTAGCTTTTATTGTAAACCAACTAAACTAAAAAAAAAATGAATGAATTCATTTGAAAGCCGTCAGCTTGCGAAACACAATAACCTCTAATCATAATCTTGATGTCTATAGGCTATATAGCGTATTCAAATATGAACATTTCTTAGTTAATTGCTTGACAGCTCAAGTAACCATGCCGCGGCTGATTACAAATGTTATCATTCATTTTTATTCTACTAAAGCACTAACTTGAATATCTAACTCTCTTGACTAGATGCTGGATCTACAAGATTCGTCGAGACATCCATCACAAGAATCGCTGACTGGTCCCGATGCTGGCCATTTACATCCTGGACATTCGTATATAAATGGCCATCGGCATTCGCCTAGCTTGAGGTAATATTTTATTACTCCTGTCTTTAAAATTTCCAATATCAAACAATCGAAAATATCGTTTTTATACGAATTGGTAACAAAAAATTTAACTCTGTTTCTAATGATTAACATTACCAAAAGCCCAACGTCCTTACTACCGGTTTACTTAACTTACTTAACACTTGCATCTTGTTCCGTCACAGACACAACGGTTCTCCTTTGGCCAGATCGCCAAGTCCTAGGCGACGCGGCCATCAGTACATACATCATGATATCGGGTTCTCCGATACCGTATCTAATGTTGTAGAGATGGTCAAGGAGACTCGACATCCTAGGCATAGCAATAGTCATCAACGGTATCCAAGAGGTATTTATCCAAAATTGTTGTTTTGTATTTCTATGTATGTACTATAATGTATGTATTTGATGCACTTACAAATTTATGTGAGCTGGCCGCTACGAAATTTTTATTTTTTCTTAACGCTCCATTACATTATTCTTGTTCCCACTACAGAAAAATGTCTGCCAAGCTTAGAAATGCGTTTTAATAATGGCTTGAATATTTTTTGTAAAATTACAATTTATTTATAAGGCGTTTATCCACTTGACGCGAAATGAGAAAAAAACAGATATGAAATTTTAACGCAGGGCCTCTTCAAATTTGGTATGCACCTCACGCAAAACATGGCAGCGTATTGACATTACGTTCAATTTCAATTACGTAGCGAATAACTGACTGCTATTATCTCATTTCGCGCTGACGTATGAAAGCAGCATGCGAAACGATATTTCGTGTGAAATAATTGGAAAAAAAAGAAAAAGAGAACGCACCACAGTTAAATACAGGCTGAAAGCCTTTTGGACAGTATATAAAGAAAAATGTCGAATGAGATAAGACAATTTATATAAAAGATTTTTTTTTAAATTAAATTTAGCCAATACAATTTGTGGATATTACAACTAACATCTGAGACAAATCGTCGTTTTACACTCATGTATGTATATTGCGCAGATACAAATCGACCCAGTATCTGTGTTGTCTTTTTTTACTGTTGCTCCTCTTCCACATATGTAGGTAAAGGACAAATTCGCAACATTTAGTTGCAACAATCAAATTATTGTTAAATGATGATATTAATGAAATATAATTCAATGTATAGAAAATGCATATGTATACCAGGAAATACATAAGTAATTGAATATATTTTCATGAAGTTACCGAAAATTCATCTTAAACTAAACGCCTTCCCTGTGTTTTAAAATGACAACAAAAAAAAGACTATTTTCTAAGAAGCTGCGAAATAAGAAGCTTCCCGCTTGTAAAATATCGCGTCAAGTGAATAGAAAATATTATAATATTTATGAACAAATTATGAATAAAATCAATGGCATTCTACAACCGCTAATGTTATATATAAAGTGCATACATTACAATTCGGTGCGACCGAAGTTTTATCTAAAAATGTTGTAGTATCCTAGTTACATACATTTATGATTATATGTCTACAGTTTATTAGCATTTAAAGATAACTTTTATTCATTATTCGTTTCAATTTAATTTTATAATTTTTATAATGTCATATAATTATTTTCCTTTGTTATTCCAAAAAGAAAAAAAATGAAATTTCAATATTAACAAAATTTCAAATTATAGCAATTTTAACAAGAATCTTACAATACGTAAACTGTTGTGCCCCGACATCCTTAATTATTGTTGTTTTTCTTTGTTATTGTTGTTATATGTACAATATAGGTTCATGGTCAGCATCGACAAGTCCGGCCCGTTCGCCCTCGCCTTCTCGTTATGGTGGTCATTTGTCTCGCAGTAAACGCACTCAACTGCCTTATCCCACATATGGGACAACAAGTTTATGTCAAAGATCACGATCGCCGAGTCCCGCTCGACTTCAGGAGATGCGTGAACGAGACAGACTTGGTTATGGGATTGATATGGGTACATCTTTAGCACGTGTTTACTAAAGCTGACAATTCAATCAAAATCAAAATCAAAAACACTATAACAATCAAAATCAATAAGAAAATCAAAACCAAAAACATGTTTTCTATATATGCTAGTACTTTCTTCTACACAAATTTCTTCAAACATTTCTACTTTTACAAACATCAGATATAAATATCAGACATGCTTACTCGTACACAGCTGCTAAAATGCTTAACATGTACATGTATTGTCATGCCATGAGACGTTCCATTATAAGCTTTCAATTATCAAATAGTTTTCTATTCTACTTACAAATCATAACTACACAGTTCTCAGTTTTGTTAGCGTTTCACATTGAACAATACTTATGTATGTATGTATGTACTTGTACTCGTACTCAAATATTCTTATTAGCAGCGTTCATTTCATATCTCTAGTGCCCATACACTTACCTAAATATACTATGTACAAACATTCATCCTCATCAAAAACTACACGGAAAGAATTTGGCAACAAAAACTTTCACTAAACGGTTGTAAGATATATGCATACAGCACAACTTTAAGACTATAATTTACAAATTATTTCGCATATCAGTCGAAAAAGGGGCTCATCAGTGACCTATCTAAGACTGCATGGACAAACAAAGTATCGGAATTAACTTAACATTTTTAGTAAGAGTGAACTTGATGACGGTTTTTAAACACATAGTCTTCTATAATTGTGTGATGCCCTTTGACTCGTGCATAAATATTATGTATCAGGGCAGTGCTCGTTATATACGTATTATTAGTCAATTAAAAATATACCTTAAATTCATTCTATACCCAAATTACTGACCAAGAATCTATGTGCTTCTCCTTTATGATAATTTTACATCGATGAACACCCGTCAATGCAAAAACTAAATCAAATAGTCCAACAATTTTTGGGCGCCAGCTAAATGGGAGTCTATTTCTCATTATCATTGCCCTCATTTCGAATTTAAGCTGTGGGTAGATTTTTATTTTCGTTATTTCCACTTGCAGAAGCAAAAAAGTTAACAAAGTGGACTTATGGTTATCATTCTGGAATCGGTTGGGTGTATAACCAAAGTTGTTATATGTATATCTTTCATATTTTGCACTGTTACGTTTCTTCTAGTTTCATTGTTTCTGTCTCTATACCATTTGGAATAAACTCTATACTCATTAAACTTGTATGTATAGCTCACAGTCATGCATGCTACCACAATTAATTACGTTTTACAATGAACCATCTAAGTAACTGTGCACCTTGATTCCAAAATAATAATTGGATCTATTGTTATTAACTGTACATTGGATATTCGATATATATATAGATAAAATGTATAAAATATATAATATATATATATATATATTGTATATTATATATTATATATAGCAATGTTCAGTATTCATAGTGTCAACGTAATATTGGCAATAGGAGTAATATTTAATATTTAATTGGAATATTACTTAAAAGTTGTATGTCTTATATAAAAACTGAACGCACAACAAAAAATTGCATTCTATATATGTATGGTTTCCGAATATTGTCATTATGCTTATCTTATAACTTCAAACCGTTAACTTGTTTTAAAATTTACTGAAGTTCCACACAAGCCTAACTGATTTTTTGTGCCCAATGTTTACAATAGGTGGCCCGCATGTACAACACAGCTACCCAACGTTGGCCTCTCGTCGTGCTGGCATTGGACGACGCCTACCACCGACTCCAAGCAAACCGTCGACCCTTCAGCTTAAGCCAACCAACATTAATTTTCCAAAGCTGAATGCGAGCCCAACTCACGTACGTAAAAATCAGGAATTTATTGATCCATTTTGTATGCGGAACTCTTTAAATTCGGTAAAAAGTCAATCGGATGGAGAAATTATAATTAAAAAGCCCAAATGAACCTTATTTAATCAGTTCCACCCATTTTCCGCGAGTGGTGCTGAATTATCAAATTACTAAAATACGAATCGATTGCTTTAAAAAATTAAATTAAATCCGATTGGTTGAAAAGTACAGCTTTCTAGCTGTTACGGTTTAGACTCTGCGTTGATCCCTATCAATCAGCCTGTTGAATAAACATATATAGATATACATTAATGCATTTAAAACTTCAAATACTTTTAGACACACCACTCAACACCCCACAGTGTTCACTCGCTGCCACATCACCGCGACCTACTGCGGGATCCAAGAGAAGTGTATTATAGTAGTAGAGAACGTGATCGTGATCGCGACCGCTTTAGAGATCGAGATCGATTGCACGAGTATGACCTGCGTTATGAGTATCGAGACCGGGAACGTGAGTTGTACGAACGTGGACGGGAACGTGAGCGGGAAGTGGAAAGAGAAAGGTAATATTATGTTATTTTAAAAACATATTTGAAATAAAATGAATATTTCTCGCACCGTTGTCATTTGAACAAGCGTTGGCTATGGGCCGAACGGGTCGTGTACTGCCATCTCCAGTTCTTAATGGATTTAAGCCAAAGAGCGGACTTAATACTCGACACTCCGATTCGGATGAGGAGGATTGGTGCTAGCAAAGGCTTTGATTGCGATCGCGTAATCCAAAGGAACAGATCTGGGTATAGCATCAGGCCGAAAGGTCATCGTTATCAGCACCAAACTTAGATCACAATTTTGATACGATACGAAACAAAATAAATCAATATACTACCACCACAACAACATTAGAAGAAAGAGCAACAGCATTCAATATTCAATTAGCTCAAGGGAGCTCACAAGCATATGCTTTAAACCCAAATCGACAGCCGCAATCGCAACAATTCTTAACAGGACAGTCAGACACAAGCTACGAGTACTCGCATTGCGATGCTTCACCGTCAGCAATATCAGCCCGAATAGTACTGTCATTGCCAGAAACAAGAACAACATCGCCCCTATCGGATATACTAGTAAGCAGGAAATTAAGCAAAGCAAGAAATGCAATACCAATGACACCAAGTAATCAAAAAACATCAGTTGCTATTCAAAAGGTTTATTCAGATAACGATATAAATTATAATACCGCCACTTTAAATGATAGATTTGCGTTATCTGCCGATTTAATCGCGCCTAATTATTGCCAACATAGCTCTAATCAAGATTATGAGAAACTTACACAGGAAGACCAGCAACATTCGTATCATACACTTTAAATGCCGAACCCGCTTAAAAATAAGAGCCCAAAACAACAAGAACTTAAAAAAGCAAATAGATTAAACCCTGTCATAAAATATGTGAAACGCATTGTATGTAAGACCTAAAAATATTTCGAATATGTGTAGACATACATAGTTCTAAGTAGCTATATACATATATATGTAGGTATACGCATACATTGTAAGTTATTTAGTACATATTTACATGCATAACGCGATAAAT